AATGAAGTGCCTTTGATAGACATCAGGCTTTACTTTACATCCATCTTTATTCTGCTGTTTAGGTGCCGATATGCATTTCAGGTTCTTGCCCCTCTTCTGTCGGCTACAGAATTATATTAGTTTTACAATATTATAAAACTGCAATAAAATTTGTTTTAATAAACATACTTCTTTGTTATTTCTTATTCAACATATTGTATAAAACGTAAACACATGGCATTTGCACCACTTTAAAAGTGCCTAGAACAACTAAAACAGAGTTAAAACTGATATATACATACAAGTTTCTTTGATTCATAATGTCAAAATGACACTTTACATCCTTAGTTCTTGTTACACTCTTATGAGCTATGTTTCCACCTTTCATTTCCATAAGTCTTTAATGTACCTTTTTCCAATTCATATTTTTATTCATCTTTTCTTTTCTGAATTTATACTAAATATGTTTTCCATTGTTCTATAATAATTTATTCAATTTTTGTTTATTTTTACACTTAAGTTTTTGTTAATATTATTGTTACTCTTTAAAATCTCTATGCTTTCCTTAAATTTTCTATTATACATATTTCTTTCATGATGTAAGATTTGTACTACTACTTTTTATATATTGCGGTTGTGTAATGTACAATGATCATGCAAAACAGAATTTATTTGTTTATATTTTAAATCGGCTATATGTTCTTTTAATCTAACTTTTACTTTTCTCTTTATTTCTCCTATATAATACTGTGTATTTTTATATGTACCATACATGGAATAGAATATACAGCATTGACAGCTTTATTTATATATGTCTTTTGCCTTTTTTCCAAATTTACAGTACTTTTTTGTTTTCTTTTACATAATTTATCATATGTAGGGGCTAACTTAATGTTCACTTTGTTTAACACTTTATCTATTTCTTCAAACAGTCCTCTAATGTATGAAAAAGCTATATATTTTGTATTTATTTGATTTTGTTGACATTTTTTTCTATTGAGTTTTTCTTCCCAATGCTGTATTATTCTGCTTGGATAATTGTTTAATATGAACTTTTTCTTTAAATCATTGAATGTTTCTGTTCTTGTTAGTGTTTGTACTTGTTCTATTCTATATTTTTTGGTACTCCATACTAAATATATTTTCTTTAATATATAGTGGAATGTCAGTTATAGTCAACAACTTTTTGTACTCTACTCAGTTTCTGATATGGTTTAAACTCTAAGTTGTCTTTTCTTCTTTTTATTGTTTTATCCAAATAATTTATTTCATTTTGAATGTTTTCTATTTTAAATTTTACATTGTTGAATAAGTAATAAATAAGAATAAATAATATAATTTTTATTTTTACTACTGTTTTATCAAATAATGTAAGAATATCATCAACATATTGTTTATAGAATGTAATACCTTCTATTCCATTTACTTTATGATCTACATGTTCCATCACTAATTCTGTTAATTTTGGTCTTATTACTGAACCTATGCTTATTCCTGTTCTTTGTATATAAAAGTTATTGTCTGTACAAAAATAATTACTTCTATAAGTGAATTCTATTATTTCATCTTGTACATCTATATTCCTTAATTTGTTTTCTATTAATTCCCATGTTATTGGTGGGTATATGTTTACTATATCTGAGCTAGCCATTTTATAAGTTTTGTATATTTTAATGTAAATAAGATCATCTGTATGTTTTATTGCTAATATAGAGTTTTTATATTTTGTAACTCTTGTTTTAAAAATTTTTCTAAATGGTACATAACAGAACATCTGAAATTGGTCTTGTTTTTTCTCCTAGCTTGTGTGTTTTAAGCTGAATATTTAATTATGGTGTTCTATTATTTGTTTCATCAAGTATGAATTGTTTGTCTTCTTTTGATATTTTACTTATTTTTTGTAATCTATTAACCCAATTTTTAATTCCATACGTATAACTTCTATTGGGTCTATAGAAAATGTATTCAATTTCCTACTGTTAACTATCTTTAACTTTTTTGTTTGAATCCATTGTTTTTTAACTATAATTATTTGCTTTGATTTATCTGCTTTTAAAATTTTAATCTTGTTTTCCAAAAAGGTATATAATGCATTTCAGCACCTAAATAGCAGAATAAAGATGGATGTAAAGTAAAGCCTGGTGTCTATCGAAGGCACTTCGTTGTACAATACGAATAAACTTAAATTAATAACATTAAATATTAATGAATCCATAGATTAGAAACATTAAATATGTAAATTTTCTATTTAATTAAGCATTTNAGATCGTCAGTAGCTACCTCATTGAGCCCCGGGGCACAGAAGAAGCGAAACCTCAGCCGGCCAACGAACTTATTTTGTTATTCCTGTTGTGTAAGTTAACTTCATGTCAAAATAAACGGTTTTCGTGTAGGACACTTGTCATCTTTGTCTCCTACCGCCACCACCCACATACGGTTTGGCCCTAGGTTTTCCTGACGCGCAATTAACGTATTGCCCCCAAAATCGGCGAACTTACACAGTACAAATGTATATAACAATAACATATATATATATATATGTCTGTAAACTTAAGAGTTATGTAAATCATTGCTTATTATTTTACAAGTCTGGCAAGATGCTGAGAAACAATTTCAAATTATTTTGATAGTGTGAACCCACAGTCGTATGAAGTTAATGAATAGTTTAACAGGCTTGCATCCATACTTCTCATTAATTACACAAAGTGATCTGGAAGCAATCTGTTAAACTTTTCAGCAACTTTATGTAACTGTGGGCCTCCACCATTAAAATAAGTTTAATTTGTTCCTGTTTATTCAGCCATACCTATAAAAGAATAAACAGATTAACATAACTCCTATGGTTCTAGACTTATGGGACACCTTGCATATATTTTTCCAATATTCTTCAGTCTATTTTTGAGCATTCAAAATTTATTTATTATATTTAATTAGATTTAATTTCACAGATTACATTTTACTTTCAGATTATTGTAATCATGCCAAATTTGATCCTATAGGTTTTTTTGCAAATTTCAATGTTTTGAGACACCAGAACCCAAAAAAGTATAAAGGGGAGAGAGAGAGAGAGTGAGAATATTCCTGGTGTGTGTGTGTTGGCATCTATTTCATTTAACATCTAGGGATAAAGATTAAGAAATGAAATTTGGCATGGTAACTTGTGTATAAGGGACATTAATGCTATTAAATTTTGGAATATGGAATTCGGGGGTTGGGTAGATGAGGGGTCATGTCATATTATGAGTGTGATCAGATTTAATGAAAATTTTACTTGTTATTGCCATTTACAATATTTTTAAAAACTCATCTCCATCCTCAGAGTTAAGTCTTTTGCCTTTTTGTAATAATTAATAGTATATAAGTTTGTTTTTCTGTCACTACTGGGTGCGTAGACAGACACTAAGAATCTTTGACATCACTCATTATTCAGAAATATCTTCTGAGCCGATATGCGTTTTGGGCATATGTCTCTCTTCTGTCAGTTTTTCTTTTGAGATATCTTGTAAGGAGGTGCTAACTAATATACATCTTGCTTAAAAATTACATGTATTTACAGTTAAAAATTTGTATAGTTAAAATTTCCCGACATTACACTGAACGGCATTTAGCTCACATTTGTGATGTTCGTGTTTACTAGGTTCTCCTTAATCTTGTTGGCATGTTAAAAAAGTTTTTAAAAACATTTATATAATAAAATAATCTCTTTCTCTCACTTTATATATTTATTCATTTATTTTTTTATTTTTATAATATTTTTAACCAATTTTTGTGAATCTATATACTTAAATTTTTATTGATATAAGTTTTTTGGCTTTTTATGTTTTCAAAACTGTCTTTAAATTTTATATTGTACCAATTTTTCTCTTTGTGTAAAATCCTTAATTCTTCTTTGTTAATATTGCAATTATTTATTGTGCAATGTTCGTAAAAGACTGAATTTATATTATAGTACTAGCTGTTACCCACAGCTTCGCCCACGTAGATTTTTTGCAATTTGATAGAAATAACCCTCCCTCGGTATTTCACTAAGATTCTCAATCATTAGTTGTTATTAATTTGGTAAAATTACTGATTTTTGTTTGTTTCAAACTATGAACTGCTAATGCACCTAAATTCAAGTTTCAAATATTATAGGATTCCAAGATACAATAAATCTGAGTTTAATTTTTTTTCAAAACATAAATGACGTTATCTGAAAATCCCTAAAGTATAAATATTTACAGAAAAATAGAGTTTCAGTTACCCCAGTACCTCTTTGTAAACCATGTTTGTGGTAATACCTTTTGGGGCTAAGACTTTTTAAGCCTTAATCTCTCCTCCCACCCACAGTGGAATTTCCAAAAATTCCTTTTTAGACTGCATTCTCATGGCATACCCTACTAAAATGCAGTTAGAAACAAAAAAATTGCATCTAAAATAGTATAATGAAAGCTGTTCTTCAGGTCAAGCCTTAATCCTTTCCCTCTCCCCCATGGGGGAAGTTTTGGAAAATCTCTTCTTAGTGTGCATATTCGTGATGCACCCTAATTCTGTACCAAATTTCACTTCTTTAGGTTCGGCAGTTTTCTCTGGGTGATGATGAATCAGTCAGTCAGTCAGGACATGTAATTTTATATATATAGATAATTGAAAAGTATAGTTCCCTTAACCTTCTGTTCAAGTGCCAGCAAATTTAAGCAAGAATTTTTACCAGCTTTTAGTAAATTTAATAAATTATTGATTTACACTATAAAAGTTATTGTATTCTATATAAACTTATTCAAAAAAGATTAGGCATTAATTAAATTTGAACACACAATAATTTAGTAAAATTTATTTATCATTGATTGAATGACCTGAAAAAGTTGTCAGTATATAATTTGAAAATGTTAATAAATAAATAAATTTATTAACATTGTAGTACCTAATAAAATATATTTGGATATTCTAAGATTTTTCTAATTAATGCAATAAATTAGAATTTAATTTACTGTTTAAGAAAAAATGAAAAGAAAATTTTACATTTTATGTTAATATTTTAGGATTTCCATTGTCACTTAACTAAAAATGAAGTAGTCGGATATTTAGGAGGAACGTGGGATATTGCATCACACAGTAAGTTAGTTTTAATTATTTAAAGACATTTAAACTTATATAAATCTGTAATACAAAAAGTTTTCTAAATGAAAGCATTTGCAGTAATTTAAAAAAAAAATTAATTTTAAAATACTACATATATTAAATATTCTGGACTTGGAAGTATTAACAAGAAAATTATAAAATTTTGAAATATTTATGAGAACTTTTGTGAGAAGATAATGCATTTTTAGTGTATAAATGTACACTTATAACAAAATTGAGTGATAAATGTTTGTTATGAAAAATCATATTAATATTATTTTAAATGTTGCCTCATTTTAATAATTAAATCTAAAATAATCAAGATGCTATTAAAATATCGTTAAAGATTAGTTTCATGTATAACTTTTTATTCTTTGTAGCAGAATTATTTTTCTTTATAGTCTTTAAAAATATATTTAATAATATAACTGAATTAATTTTATTTGTTTTATTCTCAAACTATTAATTTTTAAAATACTATATGTATTTTAACTCATTTTAAAAAATAATTATTTAATCTTATTTCAATGAGAAATGTATTTTATGACTTACATAAAGATAAAATTGATAAATGAAAAATTTATGCTAAATATGGAAAATTTTGCTTTTCCAGCTGTTGTACATAACAGAGGGAAAGTATGGCAATTAGTCAAAATATGATGACCCAGATTTTTACATTTTTGGGCTCAGGACACCTTGAAACATTGAGAAATGCAAAAAAAAAATTTGGGGATTTTTCTTTTTGTATGGATGTTATTTAGTTTGTGTGTGTGGGGGGGCACAATTTTGTTTACTCTCTTTGAACCTTAACTCCTATGTTGTTTGTCGAAACTTTCTGAATTTTGCAAAGAGATTTGTGTGTTAGGATATTAATGCAATTAAATTTTGGGGTAAAGGTCAAGGGAGTAGGGAGATAAAGTGTCTCGTGTGTTGTTTCTCGAATAGGGTCAAACTTAATGACAATTTTACTCATTATTAGCATTTACAGTTTTTTATAAAATTCATCCCTACCTTCAAAATTAAGCTTTTTGCTATTTTATAATAATTAAAAATATAAAAGTTTTTTAATAAATATCATAACAGATGGAGTCAAACATGCAGTTTAAATGCTGCCGGGAAAGTTAAGCAACTTGTTGCTGGATTTTTAAAACAATTTAAAGTATTGCATTATTATTTTTTCAGATCTTGCCATCCTGCAAGCATTTCCATGCAGATCTCAGTTAGGAGATAAAGATACTTCAGCTATGGTTGAAGAAGAGGTACAATTTTTAATACAAATGTACATTATTTTTAGATGGAAAATAAAATTTAAACAGTCATATTTTAACATAGATTCGTCAAGGATTGGAACAAAGACATTTGACTGTAGTTGGATGGTATCACAGTCACCCGACGTGCTCAGTGCAACCAACAGTTAAAGATGTTGATAGTCAGATGGAGTATCAAATTATAATGAAAGGCGAAAATGATTCAACTTACACTCCTTGTCTAGGATTTATATGCTGTGAGCAAACTTCTTATTAAGTTCATTGTTAAGCATGATTGAATTCCTATTGTGTGCAATTATTTTATCATTTTGATAATTTAAGTAGGAATTATATAGAAATAATTAAAAAATATGAGAATATGAATATGTAGCTATCTTCAAAATTAAGCTTTTTGGAGTTTTCTAAAGGGATTAGTCTCTGCATAGTGTGGATAAACTGTATTTATGAATATTACATTCTGTGTGTAATATCTTATGAAGAAAAGTCACAATAATGCAAAGAAATAATTACAAAATATGAGAATATGAATATGTAGCTATTTAGTATGTTTATGTAAATTGTGGCTTATAAAAATTATTGAGGAATGTATTATAATATAGTATTGTTGGATAAACCTTTCTGGATTAAGCTTCTTGTTTCTTGAGAAGACAAAACAGTAGACAGTTGCATTCTAATCTTTCACATTTATCATGTAAATTTAGTGTAGAAGAATGTAAATGATTATATAAATTTATTTATTACAATACAGAAATATATACAGGTTGTGCTACTTAATGATAGGATGCATGTACAATGGAGCTTCATAAGATTAAAATCTAATTGAAAAATTTTTTTGTAGCAGCTTGTATCTTTTCTATGTTTAGATATATTAATACTTATCATTGTGTCACTTAATGGTGGTGATACATCAAGAAATGTCATTAAGTAAACATTATAGAAAGAACAGTAGTTAGACATACCTATGTGATACTATTTGTATAAGTTATATGTAATACAATTGTGACGCAATATAATTATTTATATATCTAAACATAGAAAAAGTACAGTCAACTATAAATTTTCAGCTTATTAAAATTTTATGGGACCTCTGTCATATATGCAAATGTTATTAAGTAGTGTATAATAAAAACTTTATATATAAAGATAATAATTTTTTATGTTTATAAGTGTTTCTATAGGTAATTGATTATTATGTTGACTAATATAAATATACATATTATTATAGCACCATATAATATGACTAAATCCCTCTTAGAAGCAGAATATCTTGCTTATTGGGTTATGCCACCACCTGAAGTAAGTTTAACTTTTTTAATCAACTTAATCGATTAAGTTGAATTACCAAGAGATGGGTATAGTTTATAAATAATTTCTAGCATCGTCCTCATGAATACGGACGTCCAATGGAAATGATATACACGGTAGCTCAAGATTCATTTTTAACACAGGATCTGTTGACAGAACTTGTAAGATAAAACTTTTTTCTTCAGAATTTTAGATTTTTTATACCAATTAATTTATGGTAATTGTTGTTATTCTAGTAAGATTTGATTATATTTTATTTCAGCGTTTGTTAGCAGACTTCTACAGAGGTGCTCCCGATGCTATTAATTTCTCTCACAATTATTGTCAGAATGGAATAACATACTGGGAAAAACTAAGATCATCTCTATCTACCAAACTTCCTAGGGATTTACAAGTTTCCGGAAATCAGTCAATAGCTCAAATGCAAGCTGTAACGCATTTTTGGAGTTTCCTAAAGGGATTAGTCTCTGCATAGTGTGGATAAAGTGTATTTGTGAATATTATATTCTGTGTGCAATATCTTATGAAGAAAAGGCACAATAATGCAAAGTAAATGTGATAACTATATAATGTTTACTTGTAAAATCAAGTAAGTTTAGCTATATTATTTAGAGGACTGCATTCGTTAAGGATGAAAACAAGTATTGATACATTCCTATTTTTCTTTCTACCTCTCGGAGATCAAAGATATATGTTCGTAACGAATTGTAATTTTGATACCTTCGAGCGCAGAAAGACAAGACAAATTGTTATTGAAAGTGAAATTTATTTAATTTATTTAATACATTATCATATTTTTATCAATAAAATTTTGGATATATAATTATTTAATTGTCTTTATCCAAAGAAATTCTTCAATATAAATTTTATTTATTTAATTTCATGATAATTTTTTGCATATTTTGTAAAGTAATTAAAAACTTTACTATAAGAGTTTTATATTTTTAAAAATTCAAATATGTATGATAATTGTTTATTATTTTTTATTTGTATTTTTCAAAATCAAAATGATTTGATTGATTGACGTAAGTGAAACGAACATGACGACAGTTAAGTGCGATTAGGGCTTAACTGTTTATCTACTTAAATGTGCAGTTGATTGCAGGGTAGTAATTTTTATACTTTTTTAAAACTTAAACTGACTTTTTATAGTGCATATATTTTTGAGTTAGTTATATTTCGAGTTAGAAAATAAAGTTTTTGATATAAGAAATTTCGAATACATTTTTTAAAGAATATGTGCCAATCTGACTTTATTGAATATATCCAAAATTTGTGATAAATATTCATTAATTATTAAATGTGATAAACAATCTGTGATTTATTTTTCTGATTAATTTAATTAATAGGAATTTAAAATTGTGCAATATATTATTATTATTTTTTTTTAAAGTAAAGATTCATAATTTTAATTATGTTGTAACCTTAATTATTTAAATTTAATGAATTGTAAACGAAACAGTAATAAACTATAGAACAATTTCAAATTATTTCTTGTAAATACTGTGACATTGTACTCATAAGTGGATCAGTTTGCATCTGGCATTCCAATTATGTAAAAATGCTCGGAGAATTTGAGACTGTTTGTTAAATAAATGTGATAGTATTTTGTTTTGTGATTTGGAAATGAAAGAAAATCTTTTGTCATCTTTCTTATGTGCCAAAAGAGTGGTTAATAAATATCTCTTACTAAATATAAAATTTTATATTTAGTAAGAGATATTTGTCTTTGGCGATTAATTAAGATCAAATCGTGTATTAAAATAAACTCATTACTGCAATAGTTATACGTCATCATTATATCAAATTAGCATTTTATGTAAGCAAAGCAATCAGTAATTTTCAATATATAAGGTATTTAAGCATGATTTGCACAGGATGTAAAGGGTGCAAAATGTAACGAAGCAAAAAGAGCTATTGATGAAATGTTAGCATACATAAGCTCATGAAGGAGTTAAAGATTTTCATGTCTGCCAATGGGAATATGTGACAATTAGGATATGTTGGCAGGCACAAATCAATGAAAATGGCACACAATAATTGAAAAGATCCATGTTGAAAATAATACTGATATCTTAATTTAATTTTGATGAACCTACACAACACAGTAAATGAAAAGAACATTAATGTGGCAACTTCAGTATATATGGAATTTTTTTAAAATGCCATCCATTGGTAAAAGTGCAAAACTACAACTTGTGACTATACTTATCACCACTTGCAGTGTGGGCAAAATTTGCTTTGCTTGCTTCGTTGCTTTGTTCGCTCTCTCTGCTTTTGCACCCTTCATGTCCGGTGTAAATTACACTTTATTTTGTGAAGTAATATAAAAAAAATAATTGTTCTTGAAACATTACTATCTGCATCAAGAATTCTTTAGACCAAACCAGATATTCTCAACTTCATTGCTAGCAACCTTCTTAGGGGTCATTATATCAGTTGATAAATTGCTAGAGGTTGTTCAGGGATTAATGGACAAAATCATTTTTATTACATTTAAAAATAATTAAAATAAACTGTAAACTATCTTTAATTACATATAAAATCAAATTTGTAATACAGTAAAACCTGTAAGTTAAAGTTTAAGAGGTAAAAAAAAATCCCATGTTAGTTTTGAATTAATGAGTTTAATATCCAATTTTCTCAAATTTTTCTGTGGCCATAAATTTTACATTATCGAGTCTGCTCACAGAATTTATTACAAAATTGTTTCAGTTTATGGTACTTCAGTGCATTGCCAAGGCACACCTTTGTGTCCCAGACAGAACACTAAGCATATTGTATCAGTAGAAGGATGTTGATAGATGATTGTAATGGCATGGTGATGTGTGTGGTAGAGTCATAGTGTTTGTTTATCTTAATTGTCTGTATTCACATGTAATATATGAGAGAATGGAAGATTACAGATCTGTGAAAGGGTGGAAGATTACATGGAAAAATTGGTTTGAGTTAAAAGTACCAACTTAATCAGACTGTATTATATGGAAACCCTATATACTGTACAAGGGACAACTTTGAGTTAATGCTGGATAAGTTTGAACTTCAACTTAAGGAGATTTTACTGTATATTATGCTGGGGTAAAAGCTAAATCTTAAACTGTGTATGCATAATCATCCCCATTTGGCACGGTGAGTGATTAGTATTGTTCTAGAAGTGAAGATTAAACGATCAGGTAGATAAGTGGTAACGGATCTACATGGTGAGCAGGAGTTGCAAGTTTGAGTTTCACTCTGAATCTGTTTTTCTTCTAAAATATTCTAAACTAGCAGATGAGCCTGATGTTGCTTGGACAAAAAGTAATGATAGCAAAGATTAAGATTATTAGATTATAGCCAATCTTACCCGTTTTCACCAAGTGCAAGAATTAGGTCCCTCTTCTGAGACTAATTAGAGAATTTTTAGATATCTGCTTATCACACTAGGATAATGATAAATAAGACTCACTGCATAGTACCACTAAGTGATAAATAATAAATGTTTTCATAACTCTTTCTGGGTTATTCTTCAGGTTTAATGAATTCAAAAAAATAAGCTGGATCTTCCAGAATCATTCATAAATATAAAATCGAACATTAAGACGAAGAGTTCGAATAAAGCGAACTTATATGCATGAGCTCCCCATGTCAACTTTATATACAATGGAACACTAAATATCGTTGAGAATTTTTAGAAAGGTCTAAAAATATATTTGATTTCCCATATAAATGCAAAAAACGCATCTGAAATAGTACAGTAGAAGCTGAAGTTCTTTGGGGTAATCCTTAACACTCTCTCTCTCCCCCATGGTGGGAATTTAGAAAAATCCCTTCTTAAAAGGGATTTTTCTAAATTTTCTTAATGTGCATTCTCGTGGCATACTCTATTAAAACGCAATGAAAAATGCAAAAAACTGCATCTAAAATAGTATCGTAGAAACTGAGTTCTTCACGGTAAGCCTTAATCCTGTCCCTCTCCTGGCGGGGGTAAATTTTGAAAAATCCCTTTTTAGTGTATGTTCTCATGACGTACTCTAACTGTATACCAAATTTCAACTTTCACTCTAATCGTTTGGGCTCTGCACTGATTATTATTATTATTATTATTATGTGTTGGGTTTAGTGGGTTATACTCGGTACACACCGGTGGCTGAGTACTATGCCGGACCAGAGTCAAGGCATAGCAACCAAAACAAAACTAAAATTAAATGTGTGTGTCAGTGTCAGTGTCAGTATTAAGGAATTTCCTAACAATATGGCATGTGTTCAATATAGTGGTCTTCTGTAGTGTGATGTATGTATTTCTACTCAATTGTAATGTTCCCAGGCTTTTGTGTAGCGTGTGTGGTATCACACCTGTACAGGAGAGAACGACAGGTACAATAAGCACCCTATCCATCCTCCACAGATGCCTTATTTCCTGGGCGAGTTCTGTGTACTTGCTAATTTTTTCAGTGCATGTGTTTTGTACATTGTGAGTGTTTGGAATGGCTATGTCTATAATGTATGTGATTTTATTGTGTTTGTCAATGAGTGTGATGTCTGGTCTGTTGTGGTAAATTGTTTTATCTGTGATTATGGCTCTGTCGTAATACATTTTGTGCGTGTTGTTTTCCAATACTGTTTGTGGAATATACTTGTAGTATGGTTCGTGGATGTCTGCCAATTTGTGTTTCTTTGCAAGCTCTTGGTGTACTATACTTGCTACATTATTATTATTATTATTATTATTATTATTATTATCAGCCAATCTCGATTATATTATAAGATTAATTTATTTCTAATGATTAAATTTAACATGAGATAGAAGTTTAACCTCTTTTCTCCAGTCCAGATTATTTAGTATCTTAATAATTAATCAGATATATTGTAGCTCAATATTCAAAATAATATTAAATTTTAATAATGTAAAAAACACATTTTAGATTTTTATTTATGTTTAATCAATGATAATTATTTGATTTGTTTTTATTTTATCCTGCTTTGTATCAATACAGAAAGGGGTTGACTTATTAAATCTAATTTTGGAAAGGAGTGGACAAGCAAAAATGGTTGAGAAACTCCAGACTAAACTCCTTTTGTCTATCATAAATTTCATTTAACTAATTTTCTAATTAAATTATTTTTTAACATTTTCATCGGACTGATACAATAAAAAAATAAAATTATACGAAATTACTGAATGAAACGTCAGAAAATTTTACTAATTATTTGTCATAAATATAAACATTCTATAATTTCTGAAATAGCAGTAGAAAAATTATTATAAAATTTCTTAAATTTATAATGTTATTTTATCTGTTAAATCCAATATTAGGAGAAATAATTTAAAAATAATTATCATTTTAAAATCTTTTAAATAATAAACACTGTATACTGGATGAAAAGTTTAAATATCACTCACAAAACTCAAAAATCCAGATTGTAGATCAGAAAGTGAAAGGAAAATGAATATTTTCAATTGCCTTGAGCAACAAATTTGGAAATGGAAAGAGAAATGGAATGTTTTGTGTGCTAAAATATGAAAAGAATGATGTCTGATTGGCAGTTGGCAGTCACATGGTTTCACTGGAATGTAAAAATCATAATAAATTTCAAATAATATCCTCCAAGCTAGGGATAACTTTTTGATCTATGAGCTGGATGTTTGATTTTGTGAGTAATATTTAAATCTTCTTTTACATTGATTTTTAAAGGAATAATAAAGACTTCATAGAGAAAATCCAGCAACAGGTTGCTTAACTTTCTTGGTAACATTTAAAATTTTAGTGGTGCCATCTGTTAGGATATTTTATTTAAATAAAAAAGCTTATACAGTAAGACACCGCTTAACGCTGCATCGCTTACTGCTGATTCAATATAACGCTCTCTGCTTGAAGTCAAAGCTCAAAATTTACGCCAATTTAAATTATCGCGGCATTTTATTGATTCGTATATAATATGATTATTTACGAACATGAACAAATCAGAAAAATGTGGCAAAAAGGTGTACTTTCTTTAAATCTATGTTTGTTTGGTACAATTTTGGAAAAAATAGAACATCATAGATGCCATAGGCAATATCGGCTTCGTTTGGCAGGAATTGACTGATAAATGCACGAACGAAGTGTGGAAGAAATTATGACTGAAGGTATCCAAGAATTCTCAAGAAGAAGAGCCTATTGCTGTATTGTTAGGTTGATCAAACTCAACCTAATCAATACAGCAGGACTAGAAGATGTAGACGAACAGGATATTGAAGAGTTATTGCAGGTTTCTGGTGAGAGTCTTATCAATGATGACCTTCAAGAACTGGTAGAACAAGGAATCCATGTAGAACTGGAAAATAGAGATTCTGAAAATGATGAACCAAAACAATTTCTCTGCAGATTTCCTTAGTAAAAGTTTGGTAAGATAACCAAAATCATTGATCAAATTGTAGTGAATGATCCAAATTTTGAAAGGAGTGCAAAAGCAAAACAAGGCATTTTGGATGCAATCTTCTGCTACCGACATTTGCTTAAGGAAACAAAAAAGCAACAAATGAAACTTCACGACTTTATTGCAAAAAACAAGAATTTCAGAAAAGTCAGGACCTTTGTCACAAAAAATGAACTAATTATATATACACAGAAATGTATAATAATATATGTTTGTGTTATTTAACATATTTTTATACTAATTTGTATAATAATATAACTTAAAATTAAAGTAAAATTTTTTTATTTTCAGTCACGTGTTCCCCTATCCCTATTTAGTCTAAGTTAAAATGATCTCATTTAATGCTGTTTCATTTAGCACTTTGTTGTCTAGGAACACATCCCCTGCATTAAGTGGGGTCTTACTATACTCAAGATATGACACACAAACCCCCTTTGTCTTCTCATCCTGCCAACCTTTAACCCCCAAAATTTAATAGTATTGATCTTTCTAATACACAAACCTCCCTGCCAAGTTTCAGAAAGTTTTGACAAAAAGCACACAAGTTACTAAGCTTCAAAGAGGATGAACAAAATTGTGCCTCTCCCCACATACTAATATCCATATGTATAGAATAAAAACTTCAAATTTATTTTGCATTTCTCGACATTTCAAGGTCCAGAGTCCAAAAATGTAAAAACCTCAGGGTCATTTTTTTGACCGATTATCATATTCTCTCTCTGTTACATATATAACAGAGCCAGAAAAGTAACCAGTCAAATTTCATATTCATCTCACTAAACTGTTCTTTCATATATTTTGTGATCAGGAGCATTGTCATGCTGAAAGCACTTCTCCAAACTGTCGTCGCAAACTAAGAAGATTATCCAGAATGTATAAATCCAGAATATCCTCTAGACATATCCAGAATGTAAGTATAAATCATATTATAAAAAAATTTGGTTTACTGGAACAATAGGGCCTAGGCTAAATTATAAAAAGGCTATAATAAGATGAGATTTTGAACAATTTAAAATTTAGAATTAACATACATAGTTTACAAAATATTTTTCATTTATTAATCTTATAATACAAAATAATATATAATTTTATGATTTCAATAAAATTGCTTTATTTTAATATTTGTGTTTATGTTTATATTTGTAAATAAACTCTTTGAAACTATAGAAGTTATTTTGCAAATTGTGATCAGAACATTGAATTGCGACAGAAAAGATAAATCACTTATATTTGGCACAATGAGAGATTGCATTTAGTCAATATTAACTGTGTCTATTTTATGGGAGAGAGTATGACAGGATGGGATAGTTCTCTCCATGTCAAAATTTTTCTTACTGGTTGTTTTTAAATCTCTTTATAGGACTCCATTGAACTTGCTTGGAACTCAAATCCCATATCCCAAGACCCTCCAGAAAACAGTCTTTATCAAAGTAAAGATATGTGTGGCTGATTATTAATCTGTAGATCGCCCCTCACTTTTCCAATTATCATTGAGGCTACAGAGGGTTTACTCTCGTTTACACAAAAGCTCTTTTTGAGAAAAAATGATGTGTTACAACTGATAAACTTTACAGCAAAATATGAACATATGTAGCAAAATTACCACAGAACTATCCCATCCTGTCACCTTCTCTCTCCTAAAATAGGCAGTTATTATTGACCAAGTGCAATCTCACATTGCACCAACTATACTTGTAACTATCAACTCAAAGAACTACTACATAACTCAGAGTCAATGTATTTATTTTTGATTAAATGTTTTTTGAGACCTGTTATGTTTTACCGACAGACCAAATTCTATTGGTTTTGAACATAGAACATACAAAGGAATTCCAAAATCTTGTAAATGGTTTGAACATCAATTACATTTCACTTTAAAACTGACGATGCATGTGGTACAGTAAGCATCATACTCACCATGTGACTTGCTTATTCAAAAAAAAACAATCGGCAGTCATTATGAATAATGATGACTGCCAATTGTTATTTTGGACAAGTAAAAATGGATTAAAAGTAATGCATTTTAAGTTTTATTTACTGTATTTCCTCAGTTGTAAAATTTGTTTTTCAATCTGCTGATATCAGTTCTGATTTTCTGAACTTTATTGACCATCAGATATTGTACAGTATTATAATTACATATAATCTGGCTAATTAATTAAGATGATATGCAATTTGGACTAAAGGTAGGCAATTAAGCTGTTATCTTGTATAAAATTTAATATAGAATATTCTATAAGAAAAGATTGATCTGGAGTAGGACTTGAATTTGCAATTTCTGCTTGCCATGCTGTTTTGTTTCCAATTATGCCACCAGATCACTTCCAGATTCATTAATTGGGCTGCAATTTTCAAACTACAGACCTATACATTCTCACTATTGTCTGTTTGTCTTTTGTTGATCTTGAGAATGGAGTTATATAGATGAAAATCGAGACCAGATATAGAAAACTTAGGAGCCAGAGGCCCCTATTAACTATGCTTTAACTTCTAGTCTGGACTGGAAATCATGTGATTTCAATTTAAAATTTTCTCAAGAACAGTTAGATTATTGGCATGTCTCAATTGTTATCTATCAGGAGAAGTGTGATGTACAGGGACAAAACAGCACTAAAATTTAGGTGAGAGGTCCTGGACAGAGTCCAAATGCCTCGTTAAATGTACAAAAATTTTATTCATTTAAGATAATATTTTGTTATGAAAAAAATGTATGAAATAGATTTGTTGCGATGTTATGAAATAAACAATGTGGCTGACCTTGTGAGGTCATAAGTTGTCAAGAACAGGTTGGAATGTTCAGAACATCAATCTGAAAGATTGAGATTTAGCCCAAAAGTCATTTAACTGTGTTTTATGGATTCCAGGTATACTTGCAAATTTGTTAAAGAATTTTGACCTGTGTTGAACAAAAAGATAATTTTTTATATACAAATTTTGCAAAAAGTATTTGAATAAGAGAAATTTAGCATTCAGGTTAACTGATTTTTGGACTACCTTGCAGTTTTTATTCTTACTTGAATTGATTTTGATGAATAAATGACTTCTCACCAACACTTTAAAGTTATTAAATCCTTAAGAAATTTTTCTTAAGGGCATATTATTTTATTTTTTACGTATAAAGCATAATTTATGTTCCAAAAGAGCAAAACATATAAGCAAAAAAATTCTATTCAGATTCACATTTGATGACTTGGACTGAACAGGAGGCAATTTTTTTTTTAAATTTTTAAATATATTTCTTTCAGAATTGACTCTAGTTAGTCCATGTCAAATGAAAAAAATCATCACGACTTACACAAAAACATCAATTGTACACATAGATTCAAATTTACAGTCCAGGCTATGTTGATCTTTGAAAATCTTTTTTTATCACATGTCTATTTGAATAATGATTCGGCATAATGCCATATCCTGAAGAAATATTCATTACGACCTATTAGGACGTGTTTGGTGTAACTGCGTAATAAAGGTTCAACGTTTGCTTCGCGTATCCACGATGATGATGTTTCCGTGCTGAATGTTAGAGATGGAGTCAAATCGTCGTGCTCGGGAAGCATTGTTTCTAGGTATCCTAAATGTATGATTGATTAAATAATTAATATGATAGTTTTACTTTTAAGGTCATTAAAATGGTAAAAGAAATTAAATTTACCTGGTGGTCTGATCACTTTAACTGGTTCTTCAGATTCAAGTGGATCACTGATACCGACTTCATTTCGTGCCATAATTCTTACTAGATATTCATGACCTTCCTGAAGATCTTTGATTTGTAATCTCTGAGTTTCAGCATCAACTTGGCCCACCTATTGTTAATAAATGTGTAATTAATTTGTGTTTTGTAATTGAAATATTAGTCTATAATAAAACAATTTTTACCTCCATCCACATAATTCTTCTCACGTCACGTAATGCAATAATATATCCCAGTATTGGTGCTCCTCCGTCGGATTCTGGTTTACCCCATTCGATCATTACGGAACTTGGTCCTGTTACCCTCATCTCTAGAGGTGCAGTTGGCGGTGTTGGTCGATCTTTAGAAAGAAAAGTGAGATTTAAGCAGTGAAATTGTATTTATTAATTAAAATCATTTTTGGGTGTTGCATATTTATAGAAATTAAATTATGCATCTTACCTGCTGTGATTGTTAACTTCACTGGTGTTTCTGTTTCTAATGGTGGACTTAGACCTGCCTTATTTTCTGCAAACACTCTGAAGAAATATTCATGTTTTTCTGATAAATTATGTACAGTGTATGTGGTGATGTGCGGTTCTAGAGTTTCAATTCGGACCCATTTCTTGATATGAGTTTCCTGCTTTTCAAGAATATATGCAGTGAGTTCAGCACCACCCGTAGACAATGGTGATTTCCAAGAGAGTGTAATGGTTTTATTTGTCATGTTGACTATGCTAAGAGGACCAACAGGAGCAGAAGGAGGCACTATAAAACAGCAACATTTAATGTTATTTATTAAGATAAGATGATAAATGGCTATATTTAAGGCTCACTTACTTATTTGAACACCCGGCGTGATTGGTTCTTCCGGTGCAAACGGTAAGCTTGTTCCTACATCATTCCTACATAGTATTCGGAAATGGTATGCCGTCGACTTTTTCAAACCGCTTACTTCCATAGTTAGCAATCTGCTATCTGTTGTTCCCACTCGTTGCCATGCTTTGCGACCTACTTCTTTCTTTTCTACAATATATTCTATAATAGGTGTTCCGCCATCACTGCTGGGTTCATTCCAGCTTAATGTAAAGCTCGTATCTGTCATATTGGAAGTTGTCAGTGGTCCCGTAGGTGGAGATGGTTTTTCTATTACAAAATACAGTAAGTTGAATTAATTAAATCAAAGGGCAGTTCTTTAAAAACTTTCTTATTTATAATTACCAAATTGACTCCTAGCAGTTACTGGATCTGACTGCAAGGGGTCACTTTTGCCGTATTCATTAACTGCAGAAACTCTAAACATGTAAGTACTGTCTTCGTAAAGATCCTGAACATTGTAGGTTGTTAAATCAGCAGCGACTGTTGTCACCTAATAAAATATTTCATTAATTGTTACAAGAATTGAGTAAAAATATTAACAATATAAATAATTTTTATATTTAATTGGCATATTGACTTGTGAGCACTAAAATTAGCCTTTCTTTATTGCTAGACTTATTACACCACCACAAGACATCAGATTAGCCTTAGAAAATCACTTTATTATTTCAAGGAGAAGGTAAATAAAGTGATTTTCTTAAGGCTAATCTGATGTCCTGTGGAAATAAGTCTAATAACAAAGAAAGGCCAATTTTAGTGCTCACATGTCAATACGAAGACTAGGCAAGAAGTGTATCATAGTATTAATTGGTATATCTTTAAAATAACCATGATAATTCAATTATTTTTACTTTCCTGGGTGTTATGTATACTACACTGGAAAGTATTGTAATCCTGTCAAATTCGACCCTCTGGGATTTTGAAAATCTTAACATTTTGAGACCACCCTGAACCCAAAAAAAGTAAAAAAAAAAGTGAAAAAATTCCATGGATGTGTGTATTGACATGTATTTCTTTTAATATCTCTGATTGGGGTAAAAGATTAGCAAACAAAATTTGGCATGGTAACTTTTATATAAGTGTAGTCGATGCTATTAAAGTTTGGTAATTAATTTTTGAGGGAGGTATAGAAGGGGTCGTGTCATATTTCAAGTGGAAATTGACTTAATGAAAATTTTACTCATTATTGGCATTTATAATTTCTTTTAGAAACACTTCTCTACCTCAAAATTAAACCTTTTGCCTTTTTATAATAATTAATAATATAAATATTTTTAAACAAAATCTTGTAACAGATGTGTTGTATATAATTTTAAGTTTGTGCTAACTTATCTTAGTGTTTCTTAAACACGAATATTTTTCATCAAGTAAGTTATGCAACTTATTGCTAGATTTTTTAATACATTAAATTATGAATTTATTGGGTTAATTGAATTGCAAATAACTCTGGATAATCAAGCAAAAAGACAGATTTTTCTTGTCTTCTGGTACTTTTAGCCATTAATCAAAGCCAAACAATTGCTGTAATGAGTCAGAGTATTTTTTCATGATTTTTTCTAATGCCTGCCTCTAGTACCAATTACTTAGAATTTAATTATTAATACTGTAGTAGCAGAAAAATAGCTTGATTCATTACAGTGGCTTTGATTAATAATATTAGGCTTTAAGGTGTTTATATATGTATATATGCTTTTAGCCATTGTTTTGTTATTAACACAAGAATGTTTCTGTTTTGTAATAGATATTTATTTTATTTTATTATAATCTAGAAAAAAATAATCTAATAAGAATTGCAATAGGCACACAAATTTAACTGAAATAAGTTATCTTGGGTAAAGTATATATTGCAATTTTGACTAATACAAGTTGCATTCATATGAAACATTTGCATAAAGAAAGATAGATTTTCCTTGAAAATACATTAAAATTAGGGAATACAATCTGTATGTGTGTAAATATTCGCTAAGATAAGTTTTTCTGTTTATTTGATTACATATAAATTACAGTCTACCCCCTATAACAGCGCTGTCCAACTTATCATAGCCCGCGGGCCATATTTTCTTCACAAAACATTTCGGGGACCAAGAAGGTTGATAAACCACATGACATTTGCATAGTGCTACGGTTCAGTAAGCACTAATTGGTCAGCGAGTCCGATGTTGACGCTATAAAAAGGCGACAGTTCGACACACCGGATATACGTCATTCTCGTCTAAGTTCGACTTGGGAATTTTTTTGTTCAATAATAAATGTGAATTCTTCTTCCTAGAAAAATAAGACATTCCCTGAAAATAAGACCTAGCTCATTTTTCAGAGCAAAAATTAATATAAGACACTGTCTTATTTTCGGGGAAACACGGTAGTAAAATAATTTTATTAATAATAATAATTTAGTAACATAAATTTATTCATAGTAAAATGTACTCGCGGGCCGTAAAAATTATTTGGCGGGCCGTATACGGCCCGTGGGCCGCCAGTTGGACAGCGCTGCCCTATAACATGGTAGATACGTTCTGTTCTTTATGAAATTGATGTTCTAAGAATCCTTGAATACATGAGCTAATCACAGCCCGGCATGTATGCAGTTTATGGACTACGGCTGTTTGAAAGGTTTTCTTTCATAAAATTAATTGATTCTAGACTAATTTGACTCAACATTTCCAAAATATGTATAATTTTTTGGGAATAATCCATATAAACTATGCTATAAACAAAAAATTGTAGGATTACTTACCGAGTGTGCACCGTTCAACGATGCCATTGCTTAAATTAAGCATGTTTTCGTCGTGGAGCGGCGCATCGAATGGCGCTCGTGTGCTTCCTGATAAATTATTTTTTTTTGCGAAAAATTTGCTGAACTTTGGAGACATCATTAATATAAATATAATTTTTATGGACGTTAAATAATAAATGGTTTTTAGTAGGTCTGCTGCTCGTTTAAACTCAACGGTTTGTACAATATCCGCTATTGGTCTAGATTCGACCAATCCTGTCGTGACACGAGTCGGCGATGACGTTTTACCAAATTATATGAGTTTTTTTAGCGTGTTTGTACGAATACTGTTGCAATTTTTTCGCCGTGATATAGGAATCCAAACTATAGGAACTCGTATTATAGGGGGGTCTACTGTATTTCCATTAAATATGATAAAGTTAATTTTAATGAAATTTATAGTGAAAATTACAAGTAATGTATGAGAAAAAATTATTCTGAAAAAATTCAACTGCATAATATAATAAAAACAAAAAAAATCATAGATCAATAGTGATATTGGTCAGGAAAAATACCACTCATACTCTTTTGATTTCATGAGTTAATAATAGTAATCAGTTTTGTAAAAATAACTGCTTTGTTCACACAGGATTGTGCAATTTATTTATTGCAGGGTATCTGAAAAGTACTTAAACCTTTTCCATTGCACAATAACAGCAACCTTTTACATGCAATATTGCAGTTTCTCCTATAGCAAATGTTGGAAATATCCTGCAGAGACTCCAAAATCTGGATAGTGAGGTCTGGAGATCTAGTGGGTCAGATTCCCATGGGAGATTATGCAATCAGCAAAGAAATCTTCCAAAAACTGTAGTCCAAAAATCAGAACGGCATTATTGCTCACTCGTAGACATCTACCACAAAGTGGAAATGTGTGATATACAACTGATGAGTCTTGTATGCAATGGCATATGTCATTATGAATTTTTCACTGCCCAGTAACTTTTTTGACACTCTGTACTAGTAATTGTACAGGGTAAAGCAAAAGTAATACTTGTAATAAAATCTGCTATATGTGGGTACCATTTAACTGAATATGCATACAAATGCATTCTTTTCATTTATGGTGAAAACACATTAACACGTATGATGTTATGTAGATATTTGCATGAATATGTTCCATCTGTGTTTTGTATGGAGATTTTTGACTCATATATTATTGAGACATACCAGGGTATACATATATGCATAAATCATGACTGTATTTTATAAAGATTATTATTTATTAAATTAATTCTGAACATTACTTATGCAGAAATTAATGATTAATTAAATATAAAATATTTGTAATAATTTAACTTTGATTAAAATACATATGAAGAACTGTCTACAGCCATTTTAATCTTACCTCCATCCAAACTTTTCTTTTTACATCACATTTTTCTATGATATATGATGTAACTTCAGATCCTCCATTGTTACTTGGAGGTTGCCAGGAAATAGTAATTGATTCTTTGTCAACAGTAGGGAATGTCATTGGACCTTCTGGAGGCATTGGCTTGTCTGGTAAGATGATAATAAATAATTTATGTATTTATTATTAAAAATTATACACAGTTTTATATAAATTTAATATCATTTTTTACCTAAAGCTTGGAGTTTAAAATTATATTTTTCAGTTCCGGCTGGGTTTTCTAAAACTAATGTATATGTTGCACTATCTGCATTTTCGACTGTGCGTATCGTTATAGTTGTAGTTTTCTCTCTGATCTGCACCAATGCATGTTTGGTCGATTCGAGTGGGTGTCCATTTTTCAACCACGTTATGCTTGGTAATGGATGTCCACTAACTTTTACATCTAGAATGTATTCAGATGAGGCTTTTAATCTGACATTCTTCATCTCTGGATCAAATTCTGCAGTGGGCTTTTCTGTTGGTAAAAAATTAAGAATTGCATTATAATTTAGATATAAATAGTCTTTGTGTATAAGAACTGAGATTGGCACATTGTTCTTTTACCTTGTATCTTCAGTTCGGCAGAGGTTTCGACAGTTCCAGAATTATTTGTTGCCCTACACGTGTATGTTGCTGCAGATTTTTCTGTAGTTTCTCCTATCGTCAATGTTGCTATTTGATTTTCATACGTGGTGGTTATATTACGGATCACGAGAAGATCTTTGTTATTCTTCAGCCTGAAGTTAAATTTTGGTATATTGGAAATGTTCTTAATTACAACAATAAAATTATAAGTAATGCCACAGCAAATTCATTTACCATTTGATAGTTGGTGTTGGTTTTCCTCCTATCTTGCACTGAAGTTTAACAGTTGATTTCAGTCCAACTGCAACATCTTGTAAATGTTCTAGAACAACTGGTGGTTCTCCTGCAATATAGTTTATTTTGTTTTAAACTGATATCATACAGCTATACACAATAGTAAAATACATTATTATAATTACAACTTAATATGTTAACAATAAGCCATACTAATTGGTTTTCCTTAAAGAGATTTGTAACATAATGAAATTGTAATAATTTGGTAATCTTTAAAATACAAATTTAAGTGTACACTTTGATTTGTAATGTAATAAAAGAATAAGAACTGCATTTTAGAGATTTTTCTAACTTTTTCTACCTTGTGGACACTAAGAGNAGATATTGAATTTATAATAGATTCTAATTAAAGCTAATTTAATTAAATTTCTTTTTTGTACAGAAAACTTACTTTGAATTGTAACTTTAGCTGTATGTTCTGTTTTACCAGCAGGATTTGTAGCGACACATTTATAATCACCAGAATCTTTCTTTGGACTAGTTTCGGTTATTGTTAATTTATAAACATCTTTCTCTTGTGTTTCTTTTATGGTTTTTGAAGGTTTGATCTTCTTTCCATCTCTAAAATATCACATTAATTTGCATTCATTCCATAAATTTAAACATATGTAAATATTTTTCAACACTTACTTGTACCAAGTTACTTCTGGAGGTAAGTGAAAAAACAAAATTTCAGAAAAATTGAAATAGTAGAATATGTGTGGATAACCAGAAATATGCACCAAGTCCTATCACAATTGATATCCCGTTTGTATATCAATTGTGATAGGATTTAAAGCTATATTAGATCTTTTACATTCTAATGTATTCTTCAGCTTTTTCATTTTAATATATTGTTTCAATTTCTGTAAATTCCAAAATAAAATGTCTATAATACTTTCATTGGCCTTAGTATAAAACTCACATTTAGCAATTTGGAATATTCATGACTGATCATGACTTAATGCTTTATTTATTAATGATATTACATTCAAATAATTTTTCCTGTACTTATTTGATTTTTTCTTAATTTATTTATTTACACAGGTAAGGGAGCTCCCTGGATCCCTCCCTGGTTATGCTGCTACTGAACTTGATATTAGTTACTATTGCCAATACTTAAATATAAATTACCTGCTAATTCCTTTAATGGAATGTATCTAGTTCCTGGAGAAGGATCACTCTTTCCTGCCTCATTTACTGCAATAACTCTGAACATATACTCCTCTCCACTCTTTAATTTAGTAACTGAAAATTTTCAAAATAATATTTTGTTAAATATTCTAAACATGAATACATGAATTTTTAAATTAATAAAAAGAAAGTATAATTACTTCTTTGATGAGTATCTGTGATGTTAAATGTTTCATTGAATGTAGACCAACGAAGTGTGTTACGATCATGATATTCTATTATATAGTTTGTAATAGGTGAACCACCATCACTATCTGGTGCTTTCCAACTCAGCGTTAATGAGTCAGTTGAAATTTCTGATGCTTCTGGAGTGCCTGGTGGCTTTGGTTTATCTGTTAATAACAAGAATTATTATTAATAATACATTATATAATTCTTGAAATTATATATTTAATATAATATGTAAATTATAAATACATTCTTACCAATTAGAGAAACATGGAATTCTGTTGTGCATTCTCCCCATTTATTCATAAGTTTTAACGTATAAATTCCAACATCACTGTCTTCGAATTTTTTAACAGTTACATGTGTACTGTTCTTTAATGTTTCGACAGTTAACCTCTTTGTTGGTTTTAGTGGTTTATTATTGAAAAACCATTCTATTTTTGGAGCAGGAAGAGCTACAAATGGAATATCGATTTTAAGAGTATCTCCTCTCTTTACGCTGAACTTTCTTGTTTCTGTGGTCACACGTGGTGGAGCTGGTGATATATTTTATCAAATTAATCATCATGCATTTGAAATTGTCATAATAAATCATAATAAGAACATATTAAATCCAGAACAAACCTTCAACTGTTACATGAGAATAACACTGTTTTTCATTTAAAATGCAGGTATAAATGCCTCTATCATCAAATGTTGTGTCTTTAATTATTAATTTTCGTTGTCTACCCTCTTTGTGTATGATCATACGTTCACTAGGTTCAACATCCTTATCGTCTTTCATCCAGCGTACTTCAAGTGTTTCTCTCGTCACTTCTACCAGAAGAGTTGCTGTATCACTCTCACGTACTATGACATCTCTTAATTTTAGAGTAAATTCTGCAGAAACTTCTGAAATAATAGAAAACAAAAAATTCTTTTAGTGACTAATTATTAAATATATTAGTTATCATAATTGAAGTTTAGACTATTTACAAAAATATCAAATTTTCAAGTCTATCTTAATCCTTTTTTTATACAACCTGAGTAATTACAGAAATTGTATCTATATTAGTTATATAAATCAATTGCATGAAAAACTAACCTTGAACTTGTAATTTTGTGGTTGTTTTGACATTTCCGGCCACACAACTGTATTCAGCACTGTCATTTTTGTTTACACTGGAAACTTGCAGCTTTCGAACTGTTTTGTCAATAATAAATCTAAAGTGTGTATCTTTATCAGAAACGGGTGTACCATTCTTCAACCATTTGACATCTACATCTGGACGGGAGAGCTCAACAGTAAATGTCACATCGGTATCTTGTGGTACCGTTGTTTTTTCTGGAAGCTTAGCAGTAAATTCAACAGTGGGAGCTAAAAATAAATAAAATTAAAATTAAGTTTTAGAATTTATAAACTTTACAAAAACTTTAATTTCTAAAAAGTGTAATTAAGTTACCTTCAACTGTAAGATTTGCAGAACTCTTCTTATCACCAACTTTGCATGTATATGTGCCCGCATCTTCAAACGTTGAATTGTAAATTATGAGTTTTTGTTTCTTTCCATCGATTTTTAATTGTACGTGTTCTGTAAACTGAATTTCTTTGCCATCTTTAAACCATCTGACTCTTGCATCACCTTTTGTTAATTCAATATTGAAAGTAGCCACTTCATCTTTTGCAACTGTTACATTTACTAGTTCAGTTGTAATTTCAGGTGGAAGTTCTATAATGGAAGAAATGCAATCATTAACATGTTTAATAATTATAATGCTAAGTAAGAAATAAAATATTAAATTAAAATAAAAATCTTACCAACTACTACTAGATCAGCAGTGCATTCTTTTTCACCCAGAACGCAAGTGTATTCTCCTTCATCATTTATATGTGAATCATGTATTATAAGTTTTCTTACTTTTCCTTCTTTTACAAATTCATACTTCTTTTTATCTGGTTTAATTTCTTCTCCATCTTTATACCATTTAACATCTGCATCTTCTTGAGACAATTGCGTGATAAATACGGCTTCCTGTTTCTCCTTAGTTTCAATGTCATGTAATTTCTCAACAAATTCAACTCCTGCCTCTGTAAGAAAGATATTGAATTTATAATAGATTCTAATTAAAGCTAATTTAATTAAATTTCTTTTTTGTACAGAAAACTTACTTTGAATTGTAACTTTAGCTGTATGTTCTGTTTTACCAGCAGGATTTGTAGCGACACATTTATAATCACCAGAATCTTTCTTTGGACTAGTTTCGGTTATTGTTAATTTATAAACATCTTTCTCTTGTGTTTCTTTTATGGTTTTTGAAGGTTTGATCTTCTTTCCATCTCTAAAATATCACATTAATTTGCATTCATTCCATAAATTTAAACATATGTAAATATTTTTCAACACTTACTTGTACCAAGTTACTTCTGGAGGTGGTTTTCCTGTGACTTTTGCAATTAAAGTAACTGTATCTTTCTCCAGTACTGACTGTAAATAAATGAATTTCAATAATTTGAATAAATATATTAATAGGTTAAATTATATTTATTAATAATGAGTTATTCAGAATCTACCATATACAGTACCTATCATTATCAATTGCCAAATGGCTGAGCAGTTAGGGTGGCAGCCTACTACTCTGAGGGACCCAGGATAAACTCCAGAAGTATCAAAAAATACCCCAAGAATATTTTGGGGATGGGCTATCTGGATATGTCAGGCCCATTTTTCACCACCCAGCCACCCCATTGTGGGTTTGGCCAAACCCGTAATGGATTTGCTAAAATGGCCCTCTTAGTACCCTCATGGTTGAAAGAATTAAAAAAATGTGTATAATTTAATACTAATATAATTTATAGTAACTGATTTAATTATAAATTTATTATGGTAGGGATGGGGACCAATATAACCAGGTCAAACCACCCACGGAAATTTTTGAGAATGCAACCCAAGCTTTAACTTTGGTTTCTTGTGTGTATTCACAACCAAGGATAAAGAGTTAGAGTTAGAAATTGATCAATGTGTGATCATGTACTAAAAGTAAAGTGAATGGTAATTGATAATTCTTGATTCTTGTTTTGAATATGGCAAGCTGACATCTTTATCACCTCAGCCCTTCAGCCATTACATGGGAAATAAACATCCAGTTATTGACTAAACTGTCTCAACATCATTTCCATTGAATTTTAAACATTTCATATTTTATAAAAATTAATGATTTAATTCTTATTCAATTAACAATTCTTCTTTTAATTTAAATATTTCTGAACTTTAATAAACTGCAGTTTTAAGTTCAAAATTTATGACTTACTGTATCGCTGAATGTCTGAGTAAAGACTGGAGGCTCTTCTTTTGGTTTTTCTAAGGAAAATAATATGAATTTAATTAAAACAGAAGGAAACTTTTTAAACTAAATATAATAAACTATAAAGCATTTTAAATACATACCTTCTAATACTGTTAATTCAGTTGTTGTGCTATCTTTACCTGCAGGGTTAGATGCAGTTACAGTGTAAGTACCTTTGTCACCAGGTTCTGTTGGATTAATTGTGAGTGTGTGTGTATCATCTTTGGAAGTAATGGAATGACGTTTGTCAGGAATGATTTCTTTTCCATTTCGTTGCCACACAACTAGAGAAAAAAATAATAATTTAATGCATCCAATAAATAAATAATCATTTAACAATCCATTTTTCTTTTATAAAATAGTTAATGTAAATTAGAATAGCATTAACATTTCAGAACAATCAAAATTTGATTATTTTATACTCATTAAGCCAAGTTCTTGGAACAAAATAGGTTAAAGTTTCTGTAATTATCTTCTATATAGTTCCAATATATTCAGAAATAATTCCATATTTTGCAGGGGTCCAGTGCAACATATAAAATATACAACCTTTTCAAAATGCTGAGGGATGAGAAAGATCCCTTTAAGCACCTCTAAGTGAAAGATCCTAAGTGAATGTATAGATTAGGGTTTCTCAAACAGGATCCCGGTTGTTGTTTTAACCTGGGAAGTTCTTCTCATCCCAGGAAATCCCGAAAATTTCTTAAAAGTTTATTTTTTCTTATTTTGTGTTAAGGTTGAAGAAATTTTGCAAATAGAAAGTATAATTAACTCATAAACGGCCAGAATACATTTGTATTTATTAATTTTAAACCTACTTATTAGTTTTTTAAATTTTTGCTTGTTATGGCATGTCACAAATAGTCAATAATCAATATGTGACTTATTTGTGGCAAGACACTGAAAATTCTTTACTTGTCAGAACCAGTAATATTTGGAATAATTGTGCAGCATAAGCACAATTATTCCAAATATCCTTTCTTAATTTTTAACCATGCCCAGTAGCTTTGATAACTGCGTAATGCCAGGTTGTGCAAATTGGGCAAGGATACAAACGAGTACAGAGTCTGCAAGTATGAAGTTTTTCTTCATAAACCTGATTATTAAAGCCAAACGAATTGCTGAATTATCTTGCTATAAGCTTGATGCCGCTATTAAACCAGCCAAGGTAGACAAATCAAGAATACTAGAGAGCAAAAGAAGTACTACAATCTCGAAAACAAACTAGAAATCTTCCAGACTGTGGGTGAAAAAAAGATAACATTTGTCTTCTCTTAAATGCATTAAACACGATTCCACTCACATCAATTGATTCAGAAAGGGCATTCTCAGTAGCAGGACTTTTCATTACTAAAATAAGAATCAGATTGAGTGATCGGAGTATTGACTATCTTTGCTTTTTAAAATCTTATTATATAAATTTACAATAATATCTTGTATTATGTTTTATTTAAAAATGAAAATTACCTTCTAAGTTAGAAGTTTGTTCTAATTTCATTTTTAAATTTTCAACTCAGTTCAAAGCATTTTTGTTGTTGTTGTTGTTCTATGCAGTTTCCAGCAAACTTTAATAAATTTTTTTTATTTGTGAAAATTTCTACGTAATTCAAAAGTAATTTTTAATACATATCTTATATAGCATTATTGATATGATTTTATAGGTTGCAGAACATATTAAATTACTTCAAAAAATGAAAAATAATTATATCATTTGATTTCAAGATATTTTGTATATCTTAAAAATAATTAATTTTATCCCGGGATTTCCGGGGTCCTGAGAAACAATTCACTTTTTTCCTGAAATCCTGGGACAAGCAAAAGACCAGGAAATGAGAAACCCTAGTATAGATCAGATACCAATGAAACTGGCTCTTAATATACTAAAAAAAGCTAGATTTATGAAATTGTCTCTTTCATGTTTTTGATTTTGTTTGTATTTTTTCCTAAGTAAGATAATATAATTATATATTATTATATTTTCTTAATAATTCTTTCTGCTCTGTGGACACTAAGAGGGCCTTTTAACAAGCAGTCAGGAAGTGAGGGACAGGCTCCAACATACCCAAACAAATCATCCTTGAAAAATTCCTGGGTTTTTCAACCCATCCATATTCGATCCTGGATCCTCAGAGAAGTAGGATATCATCTTAGACACTCATCCAGCCAACCATTGAATATTATTAATTTAAATAGCATTATATTTCTTAATAGTTTATATAAGTTTTGTTATCATTCATTTCAAGAATAATAGTTTAAATTATTGAAATTAAATATGCTTTGCAAAATCTCCAGCCATGTTAAAAGCCTTACAATAAATAGAGGATAACTTAAGGAATTGTACTGAATATACTTTGCATCTCTCATAAATGATATACTAAAAAAGCTAGTATAAATAGTTTCTTGGAAGCTGGTATTTTATTAATTGAGATCTAAAAATTGGCCGTAAACCTCGGTTATATGGAAAAAATGGAGGACAGTAAAGAAATGAAAGACATCCAGGAATCAAACTTTTCAGGATCTTCTAATCTTAAAGGTACATAGTACAAAGGAAGAAGCTTTCTGGGTAATTTTAATTCTAAGTTTATCATTGGTTATATTATAATTTATATGTATAAATTTACTAATCATAAAATCAAAAATATTAAGAAATTACCTTTCGGTGTTGGTTTTCCAGTTACTGTACATACAAATTCTACTTTGTCTTTGGGTTTAATTTCTTTTGGTTGAGGCTTTTTAGTAATTTTGGGAGGCTGAGCTGCTTCTAAAATATTACAATAATTATATTAAATAGAGAATTTTGATTTACATTTTGAATTAAATAGAGTGATAAACAAATATATATTACTAAAACTAATAGGAAATTTGCATTAAATACCTTTGACTGTTAGAGTTAAAGATGTATTTGTTTTTCCTTCCTTATTCTCAGCCTTTATTGTATAAGTGCCTCCATCTTCAGGTTTAGTCTTTTTTATTTTTACTGTTACAGTGTAAGTATCAAAATCTGTCACCCTTTTTATAGTTATACGATCTGTTTCTTTTAGAGGTTGACCGTTCTTTAACCATGTGATCTGTAATAAAAATACCATAATTAAATAACTTAAAATTTGATTTTTAGTAAATGTTATCAGAGCTATAATTTGAAATTTCAGAGCTTAGATGGTGATGTATGTGTTGTATTCTTTATTTACCCAATATACTATGTACAGTTATATGTAAACTTATACAAATACTGTCAGATACAATTAAAGGGCAAAGGATTTCCCATTAGTCCCGCTAAGGTTGGGCCTTGAGGTGCAAGAATTTGGAATGCAAAAATTCAAAATAATACAGTAGAATTTAGATTATCCAAATTGATTCATTCTGTAGTTGATATGGATAATCAAAAATTTAGATAAGTGGATTAACATGTAAAGAATGAAATTACAGTGTAGCAGCACAATATACTGTATTTATTTATTTATATTTATTTAAATATACTGTATTTATTTATTCATCAATGTGTAAGTATCATCCTATAAATACACCTCACTAACCTTAATAATGCTTTGCAGTTATTTTGTAATGTACTATAACCAGGCTATGTATGACCCAATGTTATAACAGTTGACGCAGGCACACATTGTTAGGAATTTAAAATTTTAAATGGAAATTCGAAAATAGAAACATTCGAAACTAGAATGAATAGAACACTAATCACACCAGAAAAAGGTTTTTTCTAGGACTCCACCTGAAGAAGGGCCTAGGGTGGACTGAAAATGTTTGTGGTATGTTACAAAATAACTGCAAAGCATTATTAAGGTTAGTGAGGTATATTTATAATCAACGCTTTGTTTATTAGATTGATTTTAAGTAGCATTCTACTGATAATTTTGATCCGTCACAGCAAATACAGAATTGCAGTGCTTAAGTATAAAAAAATAAGACATATCAGTTGAGTAGTACAAGAAATCCTCATTACTTACAAATTCAAGGGATTAATTAATTGTTACTTCAAATTATTAAGTTTCAAATAATCTGAGAATTACATATTTCTGTACAATATGCCAAATGCCTTGTAACTAATGAAATTTATTAAGCAAACAGAATATGGCTACATATTAAGAATGCTATTTTCATTAACTAATAATAATAATATAAAATAAACTGCAGGTAAACTGCACATGTCTGGTGAGAACCTGACAGGCTGTTAGATAGGTTTTATAAAAAGTAAAGCAGAATTCCTCGAAATGTAGCCCAAATTATTTTTGAAGTGGCCCAAAAAGTAGCNTCAAAGAACAACTTCAAGTTTTTCCTTTACTCAACTCTTAAATTCTCTCACTTTTTTAGGTTTCTCCTGACATATTTTTCAGTAAATTTTGTTTTTCTGTTTCAATTAAATTCATTACATCAGCATCATGCCTGCAAGTGGGACTGGTAGCTGATGCAGAAAGAAGGGACCTTGGAGCATCCTGGAAACCGGGGCGGATTGTCGGTGGGCTCCCTACCAGTTCCAGATGTTCAGTTCCAATCCTCCCATGTTTCTTCTGATATTATTTTGTTTGAGGATTTTGACGAACATATTTACAATTATCAATATATTTTTTTTTTAAATATGTCTTAATGAAAATTAATTATACTTTCTTTCTTAATATATCAATATATTTTTGCATGAACAGAGTGATAATACTAATAATGGGTTTTCTATAGCAGTGTCTTTTGATCTTTCAATATTTAAAAATCTGTAAAAATACAGTTATTGCAAAAGTAAAATTATAAAATAGAATCATTCAATGCAAAAGTGGCACTATTAGTTGGGAGATGCCTGTATATTGTGGAGCTAGGGCACCATTTTTCTAAATGCACCACTAGCAAAGTGACTGAGGAGATGATATAGTTCCTAACTGACTAACTCACAAGGTAAGGCCAAGTGTTCTTATAAGAATTGGGAATATATCTTATCTCTTCACCTGACTGGCCATCATCAGGTTGTTTTTCAAAGCTTTGCAATTATTGTATATGGTTTATCTGTAGGGAGTGAGCAAAGTTCTCCCTAAGTATTTTGTTCGCTTGAGGGAAGAAAGGTAAGGGCTACATATATATAATTGTATAATACATATTTTAACAGCATATATTTGTTTTGAATAAAACAGCAAATTTTTTAGCATTTTCAGTTGTAATATTAACATAAAATTTAACTGTTTGTCAACAATTTTTTTGAAATTGTATTTTGTATATTAAGAGAGGACGTAGTCCATTTTCATTTAGTGTTTGGGGTCTGTGTTTCTCTACATATCTTTCTTGCTATGCCTCTAGATATTATTTAAAAGATGACTGAAAATTCATACAATATTACTAATTTTTAACATAGGTGGTTATTATGAATCTACATAATAAATGTTCATTTTGAATTTTATATTTTTTAGTATATTTTATTAGCTTATTTTCTTATATTTTTAAAAAGTTAATATCAATTAATTTATAATTAAATTAATATAAAATATTAATTTTTGATTTATCATTACTTTTGGTTCTGGAACACCAGCAATTTTACATATCAGCTCAGTGTCACTTCCTTCGTCGACAGTTTTATCTTGAGGAGGTTGGAAGAAAACAGGTGGAATGCCTTCTAATATATCTGCTAAAGAGGATTCACGAGATAAACTTCTTCTTGACAAGGGTGTAAAATCACTACCATGATCTGACAGAGGTGCTGTGAAAAATTATTAATTGTAAGTATCTGAAAATGTTTCTTGTTTTCATTTTAAAAAATATAATATAATTATTTTTACCTTCAACAATAAATTCTGCTGAGCATGATGCAAAACCAGCTGCATTCTTTGCTACAACAGTAAATGTTCCTGCATCTTCTGGAAACACCTCTTTAATAATTAATGTTGTAACATTGTCATCATCATAAAATATCTGAAATATACATAAATATGAAAAATTATAATTGAAAAACTTTATATTAATCATAAAACATGACATAATTAAAACAGAGTCCTATAGTTTAAGATGTTGTTTGTTCCAATGTTATAACAGTTGACGCAGGCACACATTGTTAGGAATTTAAAATTTTAAATGGAAATTCGAAAATAGAAACATTCGAAACTAGAATGAATAGAACACTAATCACACCAGAAAAAGGTTTTTTCTAGGACTCCACCTGAAGAAGGGCCTAGGGTGGACTGAAAATGTTTGTGGTATGTTACAAAATAACTGCAAAGCATTATTAAGGTTAGTGAGGTATATTTATAATCAACGCTTTGTTTATTAGATTGATTTTAAGTAGCATTCTACTGATAATTTTGATCCGTCACAGCAAATACAGAATTGCAGTGCTTAAGTATAAAAAAATAAGACATATCAGTTGAGTAGTACAAGAAATCCTCATTACTTACAAATTCAAGGGATTAATTAATTGTTACTTCAAATTATTAAGTTTCAAATAATCTGAGAATTACATATTTCTGTACAATATGCCAAATGCCTTGTAACTAATGAAATTTATTAAGCAAACAGAATATGGCTACATATTAAGAATGCTATTTTCATTAACTAATAATAATAATATAAAATAAACTGCAGGTAAACTGCACATGTCTGGTGAGAACCTGACAGGCTGTTAGATAGGTTTTATAAAAAGTAAAGCAGAATTCCTCGAAATGTAGCCCAAATTATTTTTGAAGTGGCCCAAAAAGTAGTAAGTTTCCCAAATGTTGTAGTCTAGAACCCTATAGATAACTCAATCTGCTACTTGTAGTCCAACTTGCAGTCCTGAAACCTGGCCATATTTTATGAGGTAAGAGGAGAAAAAGANAAATTTTTACTAATAAATTTATTTTATTTATTTAAAATTCATGCAAATAAAAATTTTTGTACGTACTTATTAATACTTAATAATATCCCTATTTTTATATGCATTAATGCTGAATTATTGTAGCTACACTATAATATTTTCTATTGACTATTATATAGGATAACTCCAGCAAGCTAGCGATGCTAACAATTGAAAAATCATTATCCACTTGGAAGCAAATTCCATATATGTATGCATCATTTAATAACAATAGAAGCTCCATAAGATTATCATGGAATTGAATTTTATAATGTCTGTACCTTTTGTATGTTAAGATACATAAATACTTATTTTTATGTTACATGTAACCTATGTGAATAGCAGATTATACTGTATACATTTGCCTAAGTACATGTACACCATGATGTTTGTTTAATGATGAAGTCACTTAATTCTCAGAATGTATCCCAGTCATTAAACAGTACCATATCTGTATTAAATTTCTCTATTATTTTGCTAATTAGAACAGACTATTATTTATCCAGAATATGTGTAAAAATGATAATAGATGAGATACAGAAAAATTGCATAAATCAACATTTTGTATTCCATATTACTTTTTCTAATTCTGAATATAAAAATCTTTACCTGAAATTCTGAAGAAGGCTTGATAATAGCTGTCTGTCTGAACCATGTCACTGTAGGTCTTGGGGTGCCACTCACTTGACATTCTAACGTAGCTGTTTGACCATCTGTAGCCCTTGTTGGTTGAAGTTTGCGTACAAACTTTGGTGGTGTCATTTTTTCACCTGGTCTTGGTTCTATATAAAATTAAATATATATTATTTTACCAAGGTATAATTTTGATTATTAAATGTGTTGCTGATAATGTATTTTTAATTTTTATATCCTTTATCAACTGTATTAAAGTTTAAATTTAATGATGAAATGAAACAATGTTCAGAATGGTTCAGATTTCAGTTTATTTGAACAGTATCAAAGAACAAGTTCAAGTTTTTCCTTTACTCAACTCTTAAATTCTCTCACTTTTTTAGGTTTCTCCTGACATATTTTCCAGTAAATTTTGTTTTTCTGTTTCAATTAAATTCATTACATCAGCATCATGCCTGCAAGTGGGACTGGTAGCTGATGCAGAAAGAAGGGACCTTGGAGCATCCTGGAAACCGGGGCGGATTGTCGGTGGGCTCCCTACCAGTTCCAGATGTTCAGTTCCAATCCTCCCATGTTTCTTCTGATATTATTTTGTTTGAGGATTTTGACGAACATATTTACAATTATCAATATATATTTTTTTTAAAATATGTCTTAATGAAAATTAATTATACTTTCTTTCTTAATATATCAATATTTTAGGTCATATTTCTTTAGACCTTTTTAAGAATGATATGAAGTTTTCAATGCTTTTTTAAAATAATTTTCATAGTAATTGTTCATCTATGAAATTAATATAATTTATAAGTAAACAATATTATAAACTTTAATTTTTTGACAAAAAAACAAAAAAAACCAAAAACTCGAGAAAATATGAAAAATATTCAATGATAATCAAACGTTTTCAATGACTTTAGCTATTATCAGCAGGTTAAATATGTTTGTAAAGGAATGCAGGCAAATTAAATGTCATGATTTAAAGGAGTCAGCATCTGATTGGTTATTGATATTATGCGTAGTATGATGTTACATCATTTAAGGTTGATGTTACATGTAGTATTTTTTGCTGGACTTTAAAGATCTCCATGCTGCAGGAGAGTGTTACTATCTCTGAAATTTATTACCTTATTTTTCTTACAAGCCCTATATATCTTCAGCTTTTCCAAGTGTATGATGTAGTTGCATGTTGTAATCTGGCTGTGTCTAATTTTTTGATTTTTGTCAATAAAAATATACTGCTATTTGTAATATAAAATCATGTTATTTCAGAATCATGTAAAATAAGAATGTCTAAATCACTCTGATTTTCACTATCACAAATTCTGTGGCATGACTTGCCATTGTGACATCATTTTGAGACAGACTTGTTCATGAGTGAGCCAAACTTCACTTTTACTGCAATGACAAGTAGCAATAATAAAATTTAACCAATAGGAAGAAGATTTATATCATCATATAGGATTTTTCAGCAGTGTTGTGGCAAACCTAAGTTATAGTATTATTCTGGGTGCCAACACGATTCTACCAATTTTTGTTATATATATTATCTAAATTGGTTTGGTTATAATGGATTTCAAAAATATATAATTTTAAAGTGAAATTGTTAATGGTATGTTCTTACATGTGAGGTGCATGCACAACATATAGATGGCAACACAGAGTGTAAACACATGCACTGTAATATAAATGTACAAGGAAGACCTCGTTTTAATGTATCACGACTTACACTGAACTATGGTTTCAGTAATTAATAATTAAAATATAACTTTTTCTACATTTCTATTCAATCAGAGTGCTACTGAAAATTGTCCTGTGTGCCATAGGTTGTCGATCCTTGCTATAGGCGAATGATGAAATTCAAACTTAAGGAAATCCGTAATGATGATTTTTTTTAAATACCGTATTTTCTGGCATATAAGACAACTTTTTAACCCAGGAAAATCTTCTCAAAAGTTGGGGTCGTCTTATACGCCGAAAAGTATAGCAATGTATTTGCTGTATTTGATTCAAAATGACAAAGCTAATGAAGTGATGATGTTGAAAATTGTTTAAGAAACATTAGTAAATGAAAATACATGAAAAATTTGATTATGTTCCATCCTTTATTAAATATGTTAATTTTAAAGTTGTAATTTGGTATGTTGAATTATCCATACTGAATAGATTAGTTGTAATAGTCTATAATAGTTCTAATAGTTAGAAATATTGCAAACATCAAAATAATTGAACTTACTGTGGAATACAGGAAGTCTTTCTATCTTCTCATCAAGTTTTTCTCTAAGATAATGAGTATAACTAATAATATCTTTCAACACATTGGATGGAACTAGACCAGTCTCTTGTGTGAGAGTTTTCTTGACAAACCACCAATCTGTTTCGGTGCATTCAATAACAAACACTCTTTCACCTTCAACAACTGACATTCTATCTTCTCTGTCTGATATGTATGTCTTAATAGCAACATATTCAATTTCTTCCTGTAAATTTTTAGAATATAAAATAAATCAATTCAATATATAATGCATAAAAATTAATTCTATTGATTTTAATTAAAAATTTCATTTGATAAGATGATAAAACAATATAATGTTATTTACAATGTTTTATCATTGGATGCATTGCCTAGTAAAGTGGCTTTAATATAGCTGGATACGAAAACCAATGACATAGTTTATTTCAAATAAAATTGGCTATGTCATTGGAATGCTTATCTAGCTGTAATAAAAACTACTTTAGTAGGTAACATGTCCATTATGTCATTAATTAATTAAGTTAATGTTTTTATATGAAAAATATATTTGAGATGTATTAGAGATAAAACAAGAAAAAATATAAGAATGAAATTTATTTCTAACATTTATTAAAAGAAGTGTAATTGGTCTACTTCTCTTCATTAGGAAATTAAAAAGTCATATATTTTATCCAGAATATTTTACATTATCTCTCCAATATATATAGGTGATTCAGAATGTATCAACATGACTTACAAAGCTGATTCTATGGTATATTTGGAAGAAAAAATCTCACATGAACATGAATCCTATTATCAGTATTTAAAGAGCTAGTGCTTTGTGCAGCAGGAATCTCGAATATGGGATTTTCCACTGCACAATTCAAAATATTTACCTAAATAACACAATGCATGGTAAAACTGGTATGTTAAAAAGAACTGGTTCAAAACAGAAACCTGCCAAACTGGAAAAACATTCAGTACCATGCAATTCCAGTTTACACAAGTTTTACTGTATATTTTATTTGGCCACAAAAAAAAACAGTTATAGAACTGTTTTTTTTTGTGGATAGTTGTTAGTATTTACCATTTGTATTGAATATATACAATAGATATTTTTTTATTTAGTAGCAACGTCAATATTATCATTTAAACTATAATCCACAATCACAGTGCATTTATTGTATAATAAATTATATCACATGCAGGTGCACAGTGCACACTGTGCATGTTAAACAATTAAGATTGAACAGTGATTGAAATTAATAAATAATTATACAGATATAAGATTTATGTTATTGTTCTTTTTTCCATTTTTATCTTTTAGAATATTAATGCTAGGATTTATTAGCTTGGCTAAAATAAAACTGATATTTGTGCAATATAAAAAAGCCTTAGAATAAGGTCTGATGTATAGTACATGCATATTTAAAACAAAAACTGCCAACGAATGACTTGCTTTTCAAAATATTGTAATTAATAATTAGATACCACATGTCTATTCTGAATGATGAAGCACCATGTTGTTTTTACATTTAAACTCAAATACTATTGAATATAAGACCCATGTTTATATGGATGTTTTTTCTTCCAAATATACCGTAGAATCAGTTCCCTAAAGACAGCTTCTGACATTTTATATTAATTGCCAAGTAATAGCCTTTCATGAAAGCATTTGACTAAGTGTTTGTCACATGGTGAGTACATGTGTTTATTGTGAGAATTGCAAATGTTTGTCCTAGATTCAATCCCTTTGATTTGGCACAATATACCAACAAGGAGTGGGAAGTAGCAAATGCTGAATACTTGTTGAGCAAAATCACAAGTAAATCATTCCACACTATGTTTGATTGGCAAATGTGTGAAGCTACCTTAAGTCCTGTTGATACATTTTGAATCACCTTGTACTTATATCTTGCCACATACCAATGAATAAATTTATCATACACAGGTCATTTATATATATATATATATAAGTATTGCTTGTTTTTAAATTAAATTATAAATTAAAACATTATCATTATGTGCTTTTGATGAACCTTATATATAAAATTTAATTTAATATTTCTTCCACTTTCTCTGGTTTCTTTTCTGGTTTCTTGAGAATAATTTTAGCCTCTTCAGCTACTTCTTCAACTACTGGTTTTGGTTTTTCAGCAGGAAGAACAATCTTTGCAATTTATTATACAAACCTTTTTCTTCTACTTTCAATATAACCTTTGCTTCTTCTGAAAATAAACAAATATATCATCTTAATAAAATTAGGCAATGTAATATATTACCTAAATGAATCACACACACTAAATCTTGAATAAAGACCTAACAAAGGATAAACTGATACTGAATCACTTATGATGCTAAATATACTTTGAGATGCAATTTCAAAAATTTCATAAGCTAAAATTATTGAAGAGTGTCCACTTAAGAGACATCAATTGTAATGAAGTTTTATATCAGATGATAAAAGTTGTCCATTATGCAGGAGTGTCTGCTTTAGAGAGGTATTTATTAATAGAGGTCACACTGTATTTTCCAGCTACATTTCAATGATAAAAACAGCTTAAAGAAACTGATATAATTTTTAAAATTTAAACATTTCTATTCAAATTATACATACTCCTCACTTAATGATTTTGCTATAACAGTTTTTGAAAAGTCATACCACCTTTTGGATGACAGCTCTGTTTTTTTAGGATAATGACATTTTTACCAAAGAAATGTTTTAATAAATATTCAAGAAATGATATTTCAAAATAATAATTTCAAAAAAGAAAGTATTCACTAATTTATTCTAAAACTGGAAATGTACTGTTCAAAATGTTAGAAATTATGCGTGCAAACAACAGATTTGTCTGCAGCATAATTTCTACATTTTGAAGTCTGGTATTTATTCTTTATTTTGTCATAAAGAAAATTAAAAGTCATTTGGATGTTATAACAATAAACTCAAAACAAGGTGAAAAGAAATAGGGAAGAAAATGATGCAAAAAGAAGAAAAGGGAGAAAAAAACAAAAGATATTAAACTCTCTTTAGGATTAGAAAACTCTATGGTATATACCGTTTGCAAATGATGAGATTATAAGTTGTGAAACAGTTATAAGCTCTATGAAAATTGCATCTTGAAGTGTATCTTACACAATGAATCACAAACTATGATGATTCAGCAGAAGACAATATTAATTAATATTTGAATTAAAGAAATGTTATAAAAATTTCCAAATAAAATATATATGATAATACTAACATATTTTAACTTAATCATATTAGCATCTGCTCTGTTTGATTTTAATTATTTTAATTCATTTACTAAACTAATAAATAGGAAAATGTAAATTGTACCTGACATTTCCTCTTCTTTTGGTTTTGGTTTCTCAGCAGGCAGAACAATCTTTGCACTTTCTTCAACTTCTTCAACCTTCTTTTCTTTTGGTTTTTCTTTCTTTTTGATAGGAATAATGAATTTTTCTTCTACATCCTCGGGTTTTTCTGGTTTTTCCTCCTCTTTCTTTAATTTTATAGCAAATGTTTCTTCCACCGGTTCTTCCTCTTTACGTTCTGGTTTCTTTCTAGGAACTTTGATAGCAAACTCAGCGGTTTCTTCTTCTATAACCTTTTCTTCTTCTTTCTTTTCCAGTTTAATTTTGAATTCTTCAGTTATCTGTTCCTCAGTTACAGATTTCTTCTTTCTCTTTTTAAGCGTAACCTTTTCTTCAATTTCTTCCACTTTCTCTGGTTTCTTTTCTGGTTTTCTGAGAATAATTTTAGCTTCTTCAGCTACTTCTTCAACTACTGGTTTTGGTTTTTCAGCAGGAAGAACAATCTTTGCACTTTCTTCAATTTCTTCTTTTGGTTTTTCTTTCTTTTTAATAGGGATAATGAATTTTTCTTCTACATCTTCAGGTTTCTCTGGCTTTTCTTCTTCTTTCTTTAATTTAATGGCAAATGTTTCTTCCACAGGTGCTTCCTCTTTAGGTTCTGGTTTCTTTTTAGGAACCTTAATAGCAAATTCAGCAGTTTCTTCCTCTACAACCTTTTCTTCTTCTTTCTCTTGAAGTTTAATTTTGAATTCTTCTGAAATTTGTTCCTCAGTTACAGATTTCTTCTTTCTCTTTTTAAGCGTAACCTTTTCTTCGATTTCTTCCACTTTCTCTGGTTTCTTTTCTGGTTTCTTGAGAATAATTTTAGCCTCTTCAGCTACTTCTTCAACTACTGGTTTTGGTTTTTCAGCAGGAAGAACAATCTTTGCAGTCTCTTCAACTTCTTCAACCTTTTCTTCTTTTGGTTTTTCTTTCTTTTTGATGGGAATAATGAATTTTTCTTCTACATCTTCAGGTTTCTCAGGCTTTTCTTCCTCTTTCTTAATAGCAAATACTTCTTCAACGGGTACTTCTTCTGGTTTTTTAGGAATCTTGATTGCAAATTCAGCAGTTTCTTCTTCTATGACTTTTTCCTCCTCTTTCTTTTCTAATGTGATTTTGAATTCTTCAGCTATCTGTTCTTCAGTTACAGATTTCTTCTTTCTCTTTTTAAGCGTAACCTTTTCTTCGATTTCTTCCACTTTTTCTGGTTTCTTTTCTGGTTTCTTGAGAATAATTTTAGCCTCTTCAGCTACTTCTTCAACTACTGGTTTTGGTTTTTCAGCAGGAAGAACAATCTTTGCAGTCTCTTCAACTTCTTCAACCTTTTCTTCTTTTGGTTTTTCTTTCTTTTTGATGGGAATAATGAATTTTTCTTCTACATCTTCAGGTTTCTCAGGCTTTTCTTCCTCTTTCTTAATAGCAAATACTTCTTCAACGGGTACTTCTTCTGGTTTTTTAGGAATCTTGATTGCAAATTCAGCAGTTTCTTCTTCTATGACTTTTTCCTCCTCTTTCTTTTCTAATGTGATTTTGAATTCTTCAGCTATCTGTTCTTCAGTTACAGATTTCTTCTTTCTCTTTTTAAGCGTAACCTTTTCTTCGATTTCTTCCACTTTCTCTGGTTTCTTTTCTGGTTTCTTGAGAATAATTTTAGCCTCTTCAGCTACTTCTTCAACTACTGGTTTTGGTTTTTCAGCAGGAAGAACAATCTTTGCAGTCTCTTCAACTTCTTCAACCTTTTCTTCTTTTGGTTTTTCTTTCTTTTTGATGGGAATAATGAATTTTTCTTCTACATCTTCAGGTTTCTCAGGCTTTTCTTCCTCTTTCTTAATAGCAAATACTTCTTCAACGGGTACTTCTTCTGGTTTTTTAGGAATCTTGATTGCAAATTCAGCAGTTTCTTCTTCTATGACTTTTTCCTCCTCTTTCTTTTCTAATGTGATTTTGAATTCTTCAGCTATCTGTTCTTCAGTTACAGATTTCTTCTTTCTCTTTTTAAGCGTAACCTTTTCTTCGATTTCTTCCACTTTTTCTGGTTTCTTTTCTGGTTTCTTGAGTATAATTTTAGCCTCTTCAGCTACTTCTTCAACTATTGGTTTTGGTTCCTCAGCTGGAAGAACAATCTTTGCAGTTTCCTCCACTTCTTCCACCTTTTCCTCTTTTGGTTTTTCTTTCTTTTTGATGGGGATAATAAATTTTTCTTCTATTTCTTCTGGTTTCTCTGGCTTTTCTTCTTCTTTCTTTAATTTTATGGCAAATGTTTCTTCTATTGGCACTTCTTCAACTGGTTTTCCCTTTGGAATCTTTACAGCAAATTCTACTGCCTCTTCTGTAATTACTTTCTCTTCTTCCTTCTCTTCTAATGTAACTTTAAATTCTTCTGTAATTTCCTCTTCTATTACTGGCTTTTTCTTTTTCTTTTTGAGTACAACTTTTTCTTCCACTTCAGTTACTTCAGGTTTCTTTTCTGGTTTCTTGATAATAGTGACTTCTTCAACAATTTCTTCTGGCTTTTCTTCCTTCTTTACAGTTACAGTGACCTCTTCTACCTCTTGCCGTTCTGTATCATAATAATTAAAATTACTAATAATTCTTTACTTCAGTGTTATTATGATCATTTTCATCTCTTAGTTGATCTTGTGAATACTATTTGTTAATTTTAGTTTCATGCTTTACATGCAATTAATCATTATAAGACTAAAATAAATAACCTTACCTTTTTTTTTTATTTATGAAATAGTTTGACTTAGAAATGATAAATTAGAAGCAATAAAAATAAATATAAGTGTTATGATAAGAATTATTATATATTAAAAATATAAATTTCATATAAATATAATATGAATGTGTGTTATTATTTTATAACATATACATATATATTTAAATATATTGATATGAATTAAGTAATTGCAAGGCTTCCAAATGTTAATTGCTTAATTATGCCAGAAATATTTCAGCCAGAGCTTCAACATACGTTGAGAGAGGTTACTGCTGTTATAGTCTGGAAAAAAAATAAATAGCGTTAATTTATAAATAATACTATTTTGTGAGTAATCGTTGCCTACGTTTTTTCTATCATTTTTATTTTCGTATGTGATATACATCAATGGTTTTCAAGGTTATCGATCTGCAGATCACTTAAACCAAGTTACATATGAACCATAAACCACGTATACTCATGTCCACTTTTTATTATATAAATATCACTTTAGATAATGATAGTGTCCCAAAGAATCTTGTCTATCCAGTAATTTAACATAAGAGAGATATGTGATGCTTTAAAATAGATAAACAGCATAGAACTGAATTTTGGAAAAGTTAATAGACCAAGTTAATTCTGTTGACCACTTTGCATGTGCTAATGGACTCTCAGTAGTCCTTGAGAACCATACTTTGAGAACCACTGATATATATACATTGTTTATGCATTACATCTTTAATGATCAGTTAACTGAAGCATATTATTAAGTCATGTTAAATTTATTATTATTTAATATCTTTATAAAATAAATAATTTTTGTAATTCAGGAAATATTAATAAAATCATTACAAAAATTTGTATTTTCCCCCTCTTTAAATTTTATTTTATTTTTGGTTTTTTTTTGAATTGTTAATATATTTTAGTTTCTTTGTTACCTGAAACTTTGTTGACATTACATATTGTTATTGAGCTATAAAAATTATTTCACTATTTGTTGAAAGATGTAAAAATATAATTGCAAAAAATTAATTCAAACTGCTGATGAATGAAATTATTTTTGGACAGTTTCAAATGACTTGATATGATATCATTTGTAATCATTTCATTAGTTAATATCAAGTTTATGCCTTATCATTTAGTTATTTGAAACTGTCTAAAAATTACTTTGGATATCATTTAAAAATAATGAAATGACATTTTTACGAAGGTACCGTATTTTTGTATTTAATTATTAAATAATTAAAAATTATTTACACATTTCTGATTATAATGGTAAGTAATTTATATTATAAGAGTTATTTGCTAAAATTTAATCTTCAGCTAAACTATTTATACATTGAAAATTATTTATAAACTTTCAAGCATACGTTTTTCTGTTAATTAACAAATATTTAATACAATAGTTCTAAACGTATTTTTCTTAAATGAAATTTGTTTTATTATATTTGCTTTAAACAATTATCATTTACAAATGAAAGAAATAGAATTTTAACTGAAATAAAGATAATGAAATTATATTTAATATGTAAATTGTTAATATGTATAATATTGATATTTTGTATCAATATTTAAACTGGAAAAATTTTATAAATGGAATGTTTAAAATAATTTTTTAAAATAAGCTTAATTAGAGGAATCTTTTTATAAATTAAATGAACTGTAAAACAAGTTACTTTCCATATTTGCTGGCACTTTTCTTCTGACAACTAATACTGGTTGAAAATGGGGTATGTCTTGTGTACTGACAAATATCTATATAATTTTTTTTCTGAAAAATGACTTCGGAAAATTAGACAAATTTTATATGCCATGAAATATAGTAATTACTATATTTCCAATACTGTTTGAAACATCTTTAGTTGAACATGGAAGCTTTTTTGAATCTGTTCAACAGAAGCTGTTCATCAGGTATGTTTAATGATATTTGATTTAAATTGGTGTCTGAAAATGGAACCAAATACAGTAATTAAGTATTTAATTATTTAATTTTTTTATAGTCCTCTTTAAGCTTATTTATTTAACACAAAACTAACTCAACTATTAAATTATGATAAAAATAAATATGTTCATTGATTCCAAAACGATTCTCTGTGATTCATTGATCCTCAGATTAGGCCCCATACATTAATTACATATACACTTCTTGAGTCACTTTTGAGTGCCTTCCTTTCTGTTGTGTACAATGTATTTTTGGCAAAAGCCCCTTTAATTACATCTAAAATAAATATAAAAAATAAAACCTCCTCGACATTTAAGAAATGCCTATAAAAAGTTTTACGAAAATTTTCTAACTGATTCACATGACTAGTAAGTAGGCTTATAAGAATAAATTCTTATACCACTAATTCCACTAAAAACAATCTGTACAGACAATGTCAGTGGCCAGACTAGATAAAATCACTGAACTCTGGTAGTTGGTCTTGGGTTTGCACCTCATCAATGGACTGGTCACATGGAGTTTTCTGGATTTTCTTCTTGTTAGTAATACCTAAATAGGACCAGTTTCCCTTAAAAGATTTCCCAGGAGGCATTTCCCTCAGCAGATCTCCCATGTGTCACATTGCCGTAACCAAATAAACCAAGCAGACACTTGTCTTGACCCTCTCTTCTATTGTATACAATGATGTAATTTAAGGGAATTGTGAAAAGTATATCAATAGTGGTGAGGTTGAGAAATTCTGATTTAAATAATGAGAAATCAAATATAAATCTGTAGATATTTTTTGTTTTTTAAAAAATTAACAAATTAACAATATCACATACAGTAAGCAAATACAGTATCATGTTATACAGTTTCAACAAATTTTAATTCAATTCAAAAAATTTATAAATTTGTATTAAATTGTTATCAAATATTTTTTGAGATGATGTATAAAGATATATGATGGCAAATGGAAAGTTTATAAATAATTCAAATTATTTAAATAACTGAACTGGTTTCTTGATGTGAGCAATTTGAATCTTCAATTGCTATTTTTCCATCTTTCATGATTTAGTTTCATAATGGATTTAAGTTTGGTTAATGGATCTATTTTGTCATTTGAATCTAAGCTTTTATAAATCTTTGTAATAGTTTTTAAAAAAGAAATCAATTGATCCATGCCAATCAAAATAAATGTTTAATCAATAACATAGTTTTAAAAGATTTTTATGTTATTGATTAAACATTTATTTTGATTGACATGAAATAATTTATTCTTATTATTGAAAATGTTATATATGGAAGGTACAGTACAGTACATGTGACTTGCTTAACAATTAATATTTTTAGTGATTTATTTCTGAAAATAGTAAAACTTTTGTATGTTTTTAGATTAAATAAGTCTACATATTAATATACAATTTCTAATACAAATTATATTAAAAAATTAATATCTCTCAATGCCAACATTTTTTAAAAGTCAGGCAGTTTAATGTAACAAATACTACACATTAACAATTTATTTACAACTAAAGGAATATATACTGTAATAAAATATAAAATTTGAATTTCATTATAAATAATGAGCTTGATTACATTTGAGAAAAATTAAAAGATCCAATAATTTAAAGAATTGCTTTTTCCAAGATAATTTATTTGATATCAATATTTTTTTTTTAACTCTCTCTGTCCTATGGGCACTAAAAGGTCTTTTATCCACACTCAACATGCTTTTGGTGAGGAACTGGACCCAATTTATTGGAAACAGACCACCTGTGAAAATTTTCCTGCTCATCAGGATTGATTCTTTCCCCAGAGCAGTAGGCTCATAACTGCATTCAGCCATCTTGCTGTCTGATATCAATATATCTTTTTGTTAAAAGTAATTATATTATAATCTATATTATAATATTATATAACAAGTAATCTGCTTTACAGGACCTCAGTTGATTAACAGTTTCTCCAAGTATTTTTGAGCAACCAAGCTTATTTTTAGGAGATACATAAGTGATTTTGTTATCTATCTCCAAACAACAGACTTCATAGCCCAACAATACTTAAGAAGCTGTTATTTGAGTGTTCCAATAAAGCAGACTTTATTTTATTTTAAAGAATTTTGAGGGTTTTTTTTCATTAAAAATATATTGTAATATAATTTTTAATTTATTCAGAATTTGATAAGTCATCCAAAATTACTGAATTTCAGTCATTTTGTTGTATCTCATTATATAAACTGTAATTAGTGAATCATCTATACAAGGATATGATGAATCCATATTGTAATCAAACAGCAATGCACATCCTTCAAGATTTGACTTCTTGAAATAGTATTTGAATTTACTTTTCATTGGTAATTAATGAAGTACTTGACATCACTTTCTTTTATTAAATTTCTGTGTAAATTGATAGCTTGCTAGTATTGCAGTTAGAATATATTTTTTAAATGACAAAACATTTAATTGATTATCACAAATAAATGAGTAAATTTATTTTTTATTCATTTCATTTACTTTTGATCTTAAGTTTTAAAACTTGGTGAAATTTGTGAACTACCAGACTGAGTCTGAATCTGTTATGAAACTTATAAAAATGTCAAAAGGTAGAACTAAAGAAATTATAATGAAAATAAACAGATGCGTCCTGAGTGTAACTCCAACACGTGTTAGGCAATAGATCAGAGTTTGAACTTTGACAGTAACACTTGTATACAATAGATCAAAGTCAAATTGAATTGGGGAAAAGAGGAAGTTTGACAATCAGAAAGCATTGCAGTCAATCATTAACATTCTAAAATTTCAAGAGAAAGGAAATAATGGGCTAAAATACAAGTGCAGATTTCTTAGTTCCATCAACATCTCCTGATCAGAGTCAAAGGATGGTGTCAGGTTGACTGTCTAAGACAGACCTTTCTCGTGACCCAAATAAATCTAATTTCCACCCAGAAACAGGAAGAGACCAATCGATTAGGAGGAAACGATGAGAGGGAGTCAGAACCAATCAGAAAGGTAGTTTTCAGACAAAATTCTATAAAACCCCAGAATCTCAAGGTCAAACAGCAGAATTCTTCTGATTTGTGCTGCACAAAGGACCTGTGCCTTTCAGATCAACTGGTGCAACATCAATATCTCCCAAGTTCATCTCATTCCTCTCCATCCAGTCTCCACTGTGCCTTTTATACACTTGCCAAACTCACCGTATCACTGCCCTGGGTGGGATACATGTCCAGGATGCCGTCATCAACAAGTTTAATGAACTTTATTGTTCCATTAACTTCAATTGTAAAAAGATCTTTGTTCATAAAACATGTAAGTTGAATCACTTTTGAATAAACGGGATTTATGTAAAGGTGCCTTGCATCAGTGTTTCTGCCATTACCACATCCACATACAGTTTTACACCCCTTTTCCATCCTGATGTGAGATTAAAGATCTCCTTCCTCTGTTGGCAAGCTCACAAAATGTTAGTTTATTAATTAATTAATTAAAAAGTATAAAATCTAATTTGACACTGAAGATAAGTTTCAATATCAAATTATTTACTACTAATAAACTTTCAATGATTTTGATTGTTATTAAATTATCTGCTTAAAATGAATTAATTCATTGAAAATGTTGAATACATTTTCATGTAGACATAACAAAAATGACTTTTTGTAATGATGAAATTTTCATGTGTGTTTGTACTAATATACAAAATTCTAAATGATGTAGTTAAAAATACCTTACCTTTAATGTCTGGCTTCTTTTCTAATTTTATTGAAACTTCTTCTGTAATTTCTTCAGGTAGAACTTTTTCCTTCTTTTTGGGCTTTTTCTCAAGTTTAACTTTTACTTCTTCTACTTCTTCCTTCTCCTCTGGTTTAGGCTTCAATGTAATTGAAATTTCTTCATCTTTTGGTTTTTCCTTTGGCTTTTTCTCTAATTTAATTGTTACTTCTTCTTCTTTAGGTTTTTCTTCAGGTTTCTTTTCTAATTTGATGGTAACTTCTTCAGCTTTTTCTGGTTTCTTTTCAATAACAATTTCTTTAACTTTTTCTGTTTTCACTTCTTTGATAGTGATCTCTTCTACTACTTCCTCTACTTTTTCTTCTGGTTTCTTTTCAATTTTCACTGTTACTTCTTCCACTTCTTCTTTGGGTTTCTCCTTTGGTTTCTTTTCTAGAGTAATTGTTACTTCTTCAGCCTCTTCTGGTTTTTCTTCTGGTACTTTTACTTTTTTCTTCTTCTTCAATGTAATTTTTTCCTCTACTTCTTTTGGTTTTTCTTCTAATTTGATGGTAACTTCTTCAGCCTTTTCTGGTTTCTTTTCGATGATGACTTCTTCAACCTTTTCTGGTTTTAGTTTCTTAATTGTAATTTCTTCTGCTACTTCCTCTACTTTTTCTTCTGGTTTCTTTTCAATTTTCACTGTCACTTCTTCCACTTCTTCTTTGGGCTTTTCTTTTGGTTTCTTTTCTAGAGTAATTGTTACTTCTTCAGCCTCTTCTGGTTTTTCTTCTGGTACTTCTTTTACTTTCTTTTTCTTTTTTAAAGTGATTTTTTCCTCTACTTCTTTTGGTTTTTCTTCAGGTTTCTTTTCTAATTTGATGGTAACTTCTTCAGCCTTTTCTGGTTTCTTTTCGATGATGACTTCTTCAACTTTTTCTGGTTTTAGTTTCTTAATTGTAATTTCTTCTACTACTTCCTCTACTTTTTCTTCTGGTTTCTTTTCAATTTTCACTGTCACCTCTTCCACTTCTTCTTTGGGTTTTTCCTTGGGCTTCTTTTCTAGAGTAAATGTTACTTCTTCAGCTTCCTCTGGTTTTTCTTCTGGTACTTCTTTTACTTTTTTCTTCTTCTTCAATGTAATTTTTTCTTCTACTTCTTTTGGTTTTTCTTCGGGTTTCTTTTCTAATTTGATGGTAACTTCTTCAGCTTTTTCTGGTTTCTTTTCAATAACTACTTCTTCAATCTTTTCTGGTTTTAGTTTCTTAATTGTAATTTCTTCTACTACTTCCTCTACTGTTTCTTCTGGTTTCTTTTCAATTTTCACTGTCACTTCTTCCACTTCTTCTTTAGGTTTTTCCTTTGGTTTCTTCTCTAGAGTAACAGTTACTTCTTCAGCTTCCTCTGGTTTTTCTTCTGGTACTTCTTTTACTTTCTTCTTTTTCTTCAAAGTGATTTTTTCCTCTACTTCTTTTGGTTTTTCTTCGGGTTTCTTTTCTAATTTGATGGTAACTTCTTCAGCTTTTTCTGGTTTCTTTTCAATAACTACTTCTTCAACCTTTTCTGGTTTTAGTTTCTTAATTGTAATTTCTTCTACTCTACTTCTTTTGGTTTTTCTTCGGGTTTCTTTTCTAATTTGATGGTAACTTCTTCAGCTTTTTCTGGTTTCTTTTCAATAACTACTTCTTCAACCTTTTCTGGTTTTAGTTTCTTAATTGTAATTTCTTCTACTACTTCCTCTACTTTTTCTTCCGGTTTCTTTTCAATTTTCACTGTCATTTCTTCCACTTCTTCTTTGGGTTTTTCTTTTGGTTTCTTTTCTAGAGTAATTGTTACTTCTTCAGCCTCTTCTGGTTTTTCTTCTGGTACTTCTTTTACTTTCTTTTTCTTTTTCAAAGTGATTTTTTCCTCTACTTCTTTTGGTTTTTCTTCGGGTTTCTTTTCTAATTTGATGGTAACTTCTTCAGCCTTTTCTGGTTTCTTTTCGATGATGACTTCTTCAACTTTCTTCTTTTTCTTCAATGTAATTTTTTCCTCTACTTCTTTTGGTTTTTCTTCGGGTTTCTTTTCTAATTTGATGGTAACTTCTTCAGCCTTTTCTGGTTTCTTTTCGATGATGACTTCTTCAACCTTTTCTGATTTTAGTTTTTTAATTGTAATTTCTTCTACTACTTCCTCTACTTTTTCTTCTGGTTTCTTTTCAATTTTCACTGTCACTTCTTCTACTTCTTCTTTGGGTTTTTCCTTTGGTTTCTTTTCTAGAGTAACGGTTACTTCTTCAGCCTCTTCTGGTTTTTCTTCTGGTACTTCTTTTACTTTTTTCTTCTTCTTTAGTGTAATTTTTTCTTCTACTTCTTTTGGTTTTTCTTCGGGTTTCTTTTCTAATTTGATGGTAACTTCTTCAGCCTTTTCTGGTTTCTTTTCGATGATGACTTCTTCAACCTTTTCTGATTTTAGTTTTTTAATTGTAATTTCTTCTACTACTTCCTCTACTTTTTCTTCTGGTTTCTTTTCAATTTTCACTGTCACTTCTTCCACTTCTTCTTTGGGTTTTTCCTTTGGTTTCTTTTCTAGAGTAACGGTTACTTCTTCAGCCTCTTCTGGTTTTTCTTCTG